CATGGCATTGCCGGGGCCCTGGGCAAGGATATGATAGTTATGGAGGTTTCCTACAGCCATGGGGCCTATTAAAATTGATGATTTGAGGGGTACCCCTATCTTAGGAAACCTCCATAGTCAATGATAGCCATTCTGGGATAGAATATGTTGTTTAAAGAAAACATGCATGTGAAGTGAGCTTAATCTTGTTTGAATTTGCCATATTTTCTCGAGGATGACCATAAGTGCTATTTATTATATCAGCGGACCGTGGCTGGTTCAGTGCTGAATCAAGATTTCCGGTGAAATCTGGGATGGTTCAACATCTTTTATCAGCGATTGTTTGGTGATGTCACCAATCTAATAATAGGATTTAAATACGCCATACTTGATTTAACTACAGTATGGCTATACCGGCTGGGAATCAAGCATGGCAATGAAGAATCTACTGTTTATATCTATCTTTGCTGATATTGGACCATTATCCCAGTAAACATGTGGAGAAAACTCCTAGAATGGGGGATCCCCAAATCCGGTTTCAATACCAGGTTGTTCTAACTTGGGATGATTTGGGATAGAAAAAGGTGATGGAAAGCTCCATGTGATTTCCCAGTCATGTTTGATGACGATTTCCACCAATCTGCCGATCTGCTCGCAGGACGCAGACTGATGCAGACAGCAGCGCCATGTCCGTGGCTGAGACTGTGGTGAAGGTGTGGGGTGACCTTGGGCTTTTGGGACCCGCGTGGGGTGCAAAAACATGTTAAGCATTGTTAAACTGGTTTATCCACTGAAGTATTACCATATATTTACCAACCCCTGGATAATAGATAATATAAGCAGCAACACTTTTAGGAGGGCATAATCTATAAATGATGGTGGATTGATGAAAAATAATCCCTATCGATGCAGCCGTACCTTCTGAGGAAGTATGACTGGAGTATGATTTGGGGGTTTGATTTGTATCTTCTCAGGAAGTACTTGGAACCATAGGAAATGGTTGGTAATAAGTATACATAAGTATAAGTATTTTTTATTATTTTAAATATACATATACTTATAGAGGGAATGAACGGGGGTTCGAATGAACCAACTATTCTTTGGTGGAATTCGGGTGTTCTGAAAAATGGGTAACAGCCGCAGATTTGATGGTTTGGAACCTCATTTAGTGTTTGGGTTTAGCCTACAAAGCATGAGATGTTTGAATACGTTTGACAGCTGACAACTGGATTTAATTAAACAACTGATAGAGAGATAGAGAGCAATATTTCACCAACGCATGTACGTGTCGAAGTTTCAGCCCAGCAGGAATTGGACATGTTTGTTTGGTTTCACCATCGCCCATCCGTTTTTGATGGGGTATCAAAGTTTAACATGTCGCTGCTAGCCCTCCCTTTTTCAGGCGTTCTATGTTTATATCAAATATACCCTGTCCTATCATGTGATTAGTCCAAAGAGGTTGGCCGAGGTGTGGTACAACTCAAATGTACACCGTGTTTGATGCCCGACTCCTTGTGAAGATGATGTCAGTTGCCAATGGCTTTGGTGGATCTGGGTATTGAATTCCGCGAGCTCTCGTTTATCAGAAATTGCGATTGAAATTCACCAACATGTGTTGAAACATTAGGTTGCGCCAAAATGAATTGTTTTTTATTCAATTTTTGGGAAACGAGACTTGTGAACACATATCATGAGATGCCGCCCTAGAACACATGACCATACAGCCATTAGCCACACTCATACAGACAGAAAGTTGATTAACTGCACTGGCACAGCAGTCTCAAAGTTCATGGGCTTAAAAAAAAGTTCAATGATGTAATCTAACAGCTTTGTGTGAATGATGATTATTAACACATGACAGATTTAATTGCTGAAACCATTGCAGATCTATGAATGGCAACCCAAGCTGGCAAAGCATTGCAACATCTAAGAAGTATGGCTTGAGTTGTCAAACATAAATGGGTCAGACATTAAGTTCTTATTGATTGATTAAACCATGCGAATTGGACAAATGTGATCTTGGCCTATGCAAAATCGATCAACTATGGTCATAAGTGATCATTTTCATGGCCACTAAAGCTTTGCAAAATTCTTCACACAGAATGTGTGGCAGAATGATGGTAATAGGTTTCGTTTGTGAAAAACTGCAAGCCACACACAAAGTTGTATGCAAAACCAATAATGATTACTAAACTTCAGTTTAACACATACATTGGGCGAAATCACCAACTTTAACAGGAATTTGGGTACTAAGCAAGTTTGTTTTGAAGTGCATGTGCAAGTGTGAAGTGGAGGCATGTTGCTTTATAGTCCAACTCATATTGGAAAAACAACTAGTGCAATTATGATGAATGTGCACAATATGTGTAAGAAAGTTTGAAAACAGCTTCCAAAACCACTCAATTTGAAACTTTTTTACACATATTGTGTCCCCAAGACTGGTGTGTATCAGAAATTCTGATACCAATCAGGTTTTGACATCCAAAAACATATGTATCAGAAATTTCTGATATGTATCATAAAATTTTGATATGTATCATTAAAAAATATATCAGAAATTTCTGATATGTATCAGAAAAATCTGATATGTATCAGAAATTTCTGATATGTATCAGAATTTTCTGATATGTATCATAAAATTTTGATATGTATCATAAAATTTTGATATGTATCAGAAATTTCTGATATGTATCAGAAAAAGCTGATATGTATCAGAAATTTCTGATATGTATCAGAAATTTCTGATACATATTTTTTTTTCAAGATGCATCAGAAATTTCTGATATCGTTCAAAAACAAACAACAAATGCATATTGTAAGGCACACCTTAAAAAAAATAACTTGAGCAGCTGGCAGCCGGCAGCCCTAGAGTCTGAGTATTTAGGTAAGCAGAGCCGCCAACTTAGTTTATGTTTGTGACTACAAAAGGTGGTATCATGGCTACAAATGTATAGTAACCCGTTAGCTGCTTGCTAGAGTTGAGCTTTAGACTTTAGCCTCAAGCTTTTGGGTACGGACCAATCGCTAGTGTCATGCAACCTGTTAGTATGGATGTTAAGCACATACAGGTCATTCTGTTGGTCTGTTGGATTTTGGGCCCATTTCAAGTCGCTAAAGATTTGCATCTTATTCTATTGTTTTTGTTGCTGGTTTGGAGGTTGCCTGCGTGGCGATGCGATATGTGTTTTTAAGTAACTTTTTTTTCCCCCCATACTTTTGAACACATCTGTGGCGCCCCCGTAGGCCAGACTATGTTGTGAACACATAACAGCCCAAAAAACATAACCCCACGAAATTTAGCAGATCTGGGACAGAATCTATCTATATCAATGGAGGTGTCCTAAAAATATGGGTACCCCACCAAGTCATTCATGTTAATATATTTTAATGGGAGTTCACATTATAAACCGTCCATCTAGTAGCCGTATATACACGTATTATATGATATGATATGAAATGATCGGATACACTATGATATGCATGAAACGTAAATGAACACAGATCACTAAGATTCCTTTATAGGAACATCGTCATGTTTCTTTAACATTCCCTTCAATAAAACACACAAAAACATCTATCACAGGAATTTGTTTGGGACAAACATACATAAAATTCAATGTATTGGACGCATAGTCATAGGGGTATTCCTGTAAATTGTCCATCATTTTCCCATTGCGTTACCAGTTCTGGGTTCATCTGGTATCCATCGACAGGAACTTGATATGGAGCATGCAGCCGAGGACCTGTCTGGGGCCGGGGGCTCCTATCCTTAGGCTGAATAGGCTGAAAACATGGCCATGTTCGAAACGAAAAACCACGTCTTCGTAACGCAGCTGCAAGCGACCTCACGGGAACTGCATCCATATCAGATATGGAATATATATATATATAATTATATATATAAAAATGCATGTGTATACATACAAGATATATATATATATATAGTTAATCTGCAATAATATAACTATAATTATTGTTTTTATTTTATGTACCTGTGCAATATATATATATATGATTATATGTATATGTATATTCAACTTTGAATTGGCGGTCGCAAGATGTGTTTTTCATTAAATATACCATTTGGCTAGACCTAGGACTAAACCAAATTTGTATAATCCAGTCTATTCGCAGATTTTCCAGATTTCATGGATTAAAGTATATCTGGAAAAGTCAAAACGATCTTCAAACCCCAATGTTTGTGGAACAGGTATGTCGCATCATGTCTTAGCAACATAGTTTCTGGCAATATAGACCCATGATTTTCCTGGTCGTGCAATTCAGCATCAAACCCCTCAAAATGTCTTGGTATTTCAGCCATTTCAGGAAGAAACCCGTCGCTTCCAACGCCGTGCGGCGGAGCTTCGGGCCAACGCCACGGCCTTTACCAAGGCACGACCGACTCGGGGGGGTTTCCGACTCGTCATGGGAGTTGCCATTGGAAATTGGAAACCATCCAGCTATTGGGGTACTCCTGTTGTAGGAACCCCCCAAATAATCCCATATATATATATATACATAGGTATATATATATATATAATAGACATGTATACTCAGACATATCATCATCCTGAAAAGATGTCTTCTTGTCAAAATCCCATTATACTGTAGTGAGGATGGCTGTATATACTGGATACAACTAGCCAACTGCATATGATATTTGCTGTGGATCCAGCCATACTTGTACCTGAGTGGAGAAAGCATGGCTGGGGACTGATGACTGTGGGGTGAGAAGTCGCTTCTCAGGGAGTACTCGGATCCATAGGGCTGAGATTTTGAAGGTGTATTTTACTTTCTCTTGATATATGTATATGTATATTATATATATAGATATGGTATTATACGGTAGTATTTGGGATGTTTACGTAACGGATTGAAGCAACCAATATTTAGCGACCTGTTGGATTTATGGTGGAGATTTACCAAAATCCTACATCCCCCCAGTGATGTTTGTTGGTTTAACATGAATTCGCTGTACTCGTAACTATATATATATATATATGCGGTTATATGTATATATATATATATTCCCCATCCCAATTAACCAAGCTATGACCAACTTGGGCCATCTAGGGGGCAGGTTTGTAGTTGAAACTGGATCTAGAGACTCACAGTCCATATTTTTTGTTCCGTCGCAGGTCTCCTCCCAACGCGCCTTGCGTGCGAGCGCGGCAGCAGGAGAAACCAAGGCGAGCGATTTCGTGGTACCACCTCGGAAAACCTCCACAACGGTTCGTTAAGTATAGAGACTATACATGGATGGTGGACATAAACTAGCTGGCGGAATCACTGTGTTCTTTGTTTTTTCAAACTCATCCACTCTACTCGTACCTGGCATGAGGGCTCCTATTTCAGGGGGTTACAACCACCAATCAGACTGCTGTGATTACAGTTTCAAAAATGACATTGTCACATTACTGAATGTGTTTGTTTTACTCCAGTCGTGTCTGGATTTCTGGTGGGTAATTTGGTGGGGCCGTTCTTTTCTGTACAGTGCCCTGCGGTTCTTTTTTGGTATCTCGCTGCCAGCACCAAGTAGATGTTGAGCCTCAAACAACATCAAGCACTAACCAAAACAGGCAGCAGCTATCCAGAACCCCAAAGTCTCCAAATTGTCTTGAAAATCCTCAAAGGAGATCAACCTCACAATCCCGATCCAGATACTTTCAATATCTACATATATGTAGGGATACTGATATGTTTTATCATTTTTAGAAGCCCATTCATATCCCATCCAGATCATAACTTATAGGTCAAAACCCTGGTACCCTCCAGGTAACCTAAGTCATAGCTGGTATAGCTGGAAGGTTATTCCCCCATTCCTATGGTAATAGGATGTAATAGGTAACTGGACCCATGCCCATGTTCAATTCCCATGTTCTATGGTTTTTAAGCCTCATATGGAGGTTTCCTGAAATAGGGGTACCCCTAGTTATCATCCATTTTATTCTAGGATTTTCCATTATAAAATTTATAAATCATCCAGCTATTGGGGTATCACCATTTATGGAAACCACCATATGTCCCATGCAGGGGATGCTTTCAGAGCCGAGGCCAAGGAACTCTTAGACGCCATGGTGGCCATTGAGGACAAGGCGGCCGAGGCCTGAAAACGACGAGGTAAACATCGCGCCGGGGTGTGTGGCTTTACGCCATGGTATAACATGGCACAATCATGTATAACCAACAATATATCATGATTTTGTTGGTTATACATGATTATATCATTAGATTACAAAATGGCTAGTTAATATAATGATAGTTGGCTGATCATACTAAAAAACTATAGTTAATCATTAAATATCATTTCATCATTAGTCATCATTAGTCATCGGTGGAATCATGTTTCAGACATAATCATTATTGTTGATCTGATTAATACATTATTGTTGTCAGCCGTTATATATATATGACAATATTGTAGTATCATATTATGGTTCATTTAACAACACCAGAGGTTTACCATTATTCCATTGTTGTTCATCATTTATTGTTGTATACCAACATATGTTGTGATAGTACCGCAGTATAATTAACCATTTATCGTTCACAATTGTTGAAATGATCAATATTCCATCCACATATATATATATATATATATGTTATTGTTCACCATTTGTTGTTGGCTGTTATATCCCATGAAATATACCCATTATTGTTATTGTTTACCTTTTATGGCTGGTTATACCATGAAATATACACCATTATTGTTGATTAGTACATTCTTGTTGTCATCCATTATTACAATATCATACGATTATTCCGTTATGATTGGTTGTACGACGAACAACACCCATGAATGGGATATTCCAAATGGTATTTCAAAATATTCCAAATATGTGGTTTATTCCAAAATTATTCCAACAAATTTGCACATTATTCCATTGAATATCCAGAATATGATGGTTCCATTATGGCTGGTGGTTGGTTATACCACATTACCCATAGAATATTATGAACTTATTGAAATCATAATGGTTATCTAAACAATCCATTTGGTTATTCCAGAATATTGTGCCACATTATGGTTGATTCATTATGGTTGGTTCCAAAATATACCATAAATATGTTTCGTTTATTCCAAATGATTCCAACATCATTACCAGATTATTCCATCATGTAAAAAAAATCCAGTTGAATCCAAAATCATCACCAGATAATTCCATGGTTTTATTCCGAATGATTCCAACAAATTATTCCATCATGGTTGGTTCCATCCAGAATCTTCCAAATGTCTCGATTCCGTGCAACCAGGCCGAAGCGCAGGCGGCGGCCTTGCGCCGTCGGGCTCAGGCGGAGTTGCGCCAGGCGCTGCGCGGCTTACTTCAAAGGGGCATTTTGGATGGGATATTTAGATATTTAGTATAATATAGCATAAATGGTGCAGTTATATATATGCTACGTGAAATGTGCAACTATATATAAATACTATTGGCATCCCAGCCGTAATAGCTATATATATATATTAATATATATATATATAGAGCCATGAAATGTGGTGCAGTTATGGCCCAACGAACCATGGGATGAATCACCGGCCAAAGATGGTGAACAGTTGCGATATTTAACGGGTAACGATGGTGAAGAAGAAGCGTTTCATCAGTTGACAAATTGAAACCATGATAATTTTAACTATCAAAATAGGGATGTAAATTACAAATAGTGAATTTAACTCTCTTTAAACTATTTACTACCATCAATGGGATTAATATGATAGTAGCCAATACCTTTGGTTACATCTCATTAACTACCATTGAAGGATAAGAACGCTCCGTATGCTCCATGGTGCTGGTATTATTCCAGCAACATGGGTGTAGCAGCAACCATTATTATGGGTTTGACAATGGTTATCTTAGCGCATGGAAGTTGATCACCTTCAACAAAGACGTGGAACAAATTCAAAGTAAAGTACCCGTAGTACCTACAAGTCGTAAAAAACCATTCACCAAGAAGTTGTGCTTCTGGAACAATTTTATGCGGATAAAATGGTATATGGTTGCATCATTTAAGAGTAAAAACTTTTAATTACATTTATAACACATGAAACCAACAATAGGATCAATACGACCTTTGGCTAGATATAAAGGGAAATGAAGTAATGAATACTCAATATCTTGTATAATATTGACCGTGATCGGTTACAGTGGCTCATATTGTATTTGTTCCTACCTGGTTTGGGGGAAATTTGAACTGACAACAATACTTATGAAGCGACCACCAGACGTCAGAAGCCATGAAACCCATGGGTTTGTTCCAGAAAGAGTACCCCAAAATCGAGTGGTTTCTCATCTCTGTTCATCAGGCTAGAATATATATATATATATATTCACCATGTTCATTGTGAAATTTCCCATTGCCAATGTCAGCGGAGTAAAAAAGATTACAAAAATAAACTTCCAAAAAGAACAAGGGATTATCCCTGCTCAGGCGTCGTGCATGTTCACATATTTTCACAGATAAATAGAGCTGTTGCTGTGATTCTTTCATTTCGATGTTAAACACCTTGATCCCAAAATTAAGTTTTTGTTGTCCCTCTTCAAGGTTTCAGCTTTCGCTCTTCAGCACGCCCGCCAGACGCTCCAGCTGCTTGTTCTTTCCTATATTCTGTAGCGTAGCATGGAGTACCTGTGCAAGTGCAGTGAACGATATTCGCACCCCCACTCCACTCCGTCCCACCCAACAGGCCTAAAAGTCAATACTTTTCAGAACAGCGAGTCAGATGATACCCTAAACAGTCAGATACCCTAAACAGCAGCATGCGACTTTGTAGAGGGGCGCTAAAATCAAAAGCAACTCGTCAATTCACCTTTTTAAGGGTGTCAAGCTCAAGTTCAATGGAATAGAAATTATGATATTATGACATCAACAAAAACATTCATCAGACATTCATCAAACATAATCATTTATGTTATATATAAATTATGATATTTAATTTTGATTACTTACTATGATGATTATTATGAAATACAGTTAATAAAACAAATTAGTAATAATTATCATAGTTATTATTATCAAATACAGTTATTAATGATTATTATGCGGTCATTATTATTATCAAATGACCGCAGCGAATGCTCACTTCGGGGCGTCCGTTGAGGCGGAGGAATACTCCAACATCGCCAAGGATGCCATGGCGTGAAAGGCTGGATCTATCATGGCAATCCAAACTGGCAAAAGGAAAAACTAGAATATACATATATATATACACATCATATATGAATATATACAATATATATATATGATATATATATATATTTGATATATATATATGATATATATATATATTTATTATATTTATATATATATATGAAAAATGATTTATATATATATGATATATGATATATATGATACATGATATATATATATATAATTATATATATATACATATTTACATATATATATATTTACATATATATATTATCATATCATATAAGAAAAGTATATCAGTTGTCATTAATTGGTGGGAGCGGATTTCACTTTTTTTCTTTCTGACCTTTTCTGCATCGTTTGGGGGCTTCGGCCCCAGGGGGATAGATTTTGTTTCCCTTAGAAATCGGCGATTTCTGTGTATGTCAAACTGAGAAAATTGCGCTGATCCTTCAGGCATTTTTTCAGACGGCAGGGAGTGGGCAGCTGGACTGGATGGGATGATGCATGAAATCCATTGAAATCCTAGGAAGGTTAGAATAGACTAATATAGTTCAAAGGATTTCAAACCATTTCAGACCCGTATATAAACGAAGATACACGGGTCAGAAATAGGTACCCCAAACTTTGTGCTGTGCTTTCTACCATGGCCAATTCAGTCTCACGACAAAATCGCTGGAGCTGGTAGGGCACCCCCGCACGATACATGATGGTTAATATTTGGGCAACCATCAAACAAACATTGCCTTAAATCAACGGAATTATTGTGAAGTATCAAGTACTGTAATAAAAATCAAACGACAGCTTATGGGTCAAACTTGTTGCTGCACCCACAACCTCCCACCGCCCCCCCCCACAAAAAAAGATATGGTGGTTTCAGATCACACCATTGACGTTCGCACCAGCTATCACATCTGAGTTGACCCACACCGAGGAAAGTAACATTTTATCTAACTACAATGTGGTGATGTATCTATATATAATCGAAGGAAGTTTAGAAGTCAAACTTCCGACAATATGGACAGATGAAAAGCAGAGCAGGGCAGAGGCAGAGAGAAGAGGAAGATTAGAAGAGAGAAGATCAGAAGAGAAAGGGTCAGGAAGAAAGAAGATGCAGATGCGCGAAAAGGTAGGAAAGTTGCGAAACACTGTGTTTTTTCCAATGATTTGTGGCTCCGGAGGGTCGAAAAGTAGGCTCGCTAAAGCGGCGGGTGCGGACCCAGCTGGCCACAGGAGCGATGAACAATTGCACGCCGTTGTGGCGCGAAGCACATTTCCAAGTCAAAATGTACAAAACACCTCAGGTCCGGACCACTTTTGGAAGTTGCGATGTCGAAAAAGTGCACGCCGTTGTGGCGCGAAGCAGATTTCCAAGTCAAAAGTGTTAAAAATTGGCGGTCTCGGACCACTTTTGGAGGTTCAGATGTCGAAAAAGTGTCGAAAAAGTGCACGCCGTTGTGGCGCGAAGCACATTTCGAAGTCAAAAGTGTAAAAAACTGAGGGTTTTGAGCCTTTTTTGACGTTAAGATGTCGAAAAAGTAGACACTGATTAACTTAACTAACTTGACTAACTTAACTAACTTCACTACCCTAACTTCGACGACAACAGCAACAGCAACAGCAACAACAACAACAACAACAACCACAACCACAACCACAACAACTACAACTACAACAACTACAACTACAACTACACAACAACTACAACTACAACTACAACTAGAACTACAACTACAACTACAACTACTACAGCTACAACTGCAACAACTACAACAACAACAACACCACCACCAACAACAACAACAACTACAACTACAACTACAACTACACAACAACTACAACTACAACTAGAACTATAACAACTACAGCTACAACAACAACAACAACAACAACGACAACTACAACTGCAACTACAACAACAGCAACAACTACAACTACAACAACTACAACTACATTACACAACAACTACAACTACACAACAACTACAGCTACAACTACAACTACAACAACAACTACGACTACAATTACAACAACTACAACTACAACTACACAACAACTACAACTACAAAACAACTACAACTACAAATATATGACTGCAACTACACTACACTAATTACATTACACCACAACTACAACTCCACTACGCTACAGCTACAACTACAGTTGCAGTACATCACACTACATCCAGCAGTTGTGGGTGAGGTGACCACTGCAACCATTGCAACCACTCCAGCACACACAACTCCAACCACCTTTCGGTCAATCAGTGGATTCGCTCTGCCATCCCGGATTCACAACAACCAAGCTCTCCTATAGGTTTCCTATTCTGAAACTTCCGCCGCCGCCTTGTGCGGTACTACTGGTATATATGTGAACGGTGTGTATAAATCAACTATAATAACAATATGAGATAATTCGGGAACACCACCCTGTACCATTCAGCATCCTGTGCCAGGAAAGCGGCGGGAGTTTCAGAAACGCTGCGATTGAAAGGGAAAAGTCTGGGACGAATTGCTGCATGGTTTTCCTGAGGTTTAGCAGAGATAAGTGTATCGGGGGGGTCCTAAAATCGGGGATCACAAAGTTACCATGGGTTTCAATGTAAAGTCATGTTCTAATGACTTGGATTATTTGGGGGTACCCAATGACTTTGGAAACCTCCATAAGACTCTGATATGACCTGACCTAATCAATTTTATTCAGTTCATGAGAATAGGGATAGAATATGGGAATATAAGCAGCAACCCTTATTTTAGGAGTTTAATGGAATTCATGCAAACAACAGTGATGTGGATACATACGCTGATATCTCAAATGCAACTGCCAATGACCTACCATTTCGATCATTCTGCAGTATTCAAACATTCAAGCTCGGGGTTCAATCATTTCTAGCCATGGTCTGGCCACCCGTACACGTTCTTCACATGTGGATACTTTTAGATATCACCAACAGCCAAGTCAAAGGCCTTGCTGCTAAAAACCATGAAACGAGAGACCCCGGATCCGAAGTTGTCGAAGGCATCAGATGTTCACAACAGATTTAAACCAGCAGGACAGGTAGTTTTTTTTTTTAATGGGGCCATAGTTTGAAACAAGATGACAGCTTGAAAATGTCCAAATGACCCACGCTTTATTGGACCAAACAGGTACCTCGAGTGTGAGCCATAGCCATGTTTCTTTGTGAGTTCTGTAGCGCAAGCAGCTGTAGGATTTCATCAAGATGTGCCACTCCTTTCATCACCATCCATCATTTTGCATGATTAATCATGATTTGATCATGATAAATGATCAGGTGGATGAAGCATCATCCATCTGCCATCATTTTGCATCATGTCATCTCAGCCGGACCTTTTTTTTGCTTCACCATCAGTGCTGAAGACCAGCCAAAATGAAGGTGGGGCCCGGTGGGGGTCAAAATCAAAGGCCTAAAGTGGCCCTAAAGAGGCCCTTCCCCCAGCGATATTTGTTTTATAAATAGTTTAATAAACATGTATAAACCTCTCATAACCTATCTAACTCTAGAATACTAGTGATATATATAATATATAATATATTGTAATATATTTATATTATCTATTATATTATATATATATGGTGGAATGCCTATACTAAAAGTACAATCCAACTGTATATATATGAATAATATATATATATATAATGTATCCACCGTATAATTCCTAGTTTATACTAGTGATAAACCGACTCAATTGGCTCCCTAAGGGGTACGACCTGGTGGGAACCAAGGGATGAGAATTGACCAGACAAACACACGGGATGTTGTACAGAGATTGGGATTTGATCTGCTTCAATTTTCTTCAAAAAAAATCCTGGGACATTGGGACATTTACCCTCGGGTTATGACTAACAGTTTGCCATGGTATAGATGGCCCAAATGGCCCATAGATTTATAGATGGTTGACCGAACTTAAACATGCTGATTTTCCATGGCAAACTGTGAGTCATAACCAGATGGTATAGACATTGATCCATAGACCATGAGAATATCTCGGGATGTCTTGGGTTTTTGCCATCGCCCTGCCAGGTGCGCCCTTGGCCCTGCCTGGCACTGAGCCCATGGGGAGAATTTTTTTTTTGGACAAGTCACCACGTTTCAATGGAGGGTTAGATTGGGGGTAAATCATCTAGAAATGGGATATGATGTGTTCATCCATTTTCCATAGCTATGCTAAATTACCGGAGAGTAGTTTCATCATCCGGGCGACTTGATTGGGAATTTAAGGACCTCGCGCTGTGTTTCAAAGTCGAGCGACTAACATTACGGCGTCTGAACCGCTTGCTGTACAACCCCCAGTCACAGATGGTTGAGATTTCAAGTTGAAAGTTGGGAGTCGAAAGTCAACAATTTATAAACACAAGAAAGGCTCATGTCAACATGATGCTGGGTCAAACCTGAGTCAACATATATTTCGGGACACATCAATGATTGAAGTTATTTTGACGTTCACCAATTCACCAGTTGTTGTTCTAATCCATACCCAAATGAGGTGCTAGATGTTGGTGTTGATATGTTTGGTGACCTGGTGAAACTGGATGCCTCCAATCCGGGACCTAAGTCTATACCCCTTTCACTATCCCTTCATATCCTTTCACTATATTTTTTTACATTTTTTCGGACAGTCTTTACAACTAACATCAACTAATATTTTTCCATTCCTGCACATAAACTAAGAACCAAAATGAAGAGACACATATTATATAGATATCCTATGATATCCTAGCTTTGGTGCTTTGAACGCCCAGGGCTACGAGATAATGACTTTCAGTGAGGCTGGACAGGGTACCCCTTAAATTTGATGGTTAAAAACTCCGTGTTCCGAAGAAAATTGTCATTTGAGGCTATCCCTCCAGTTTCAGGCAAACCCATCTTGCGCGAATTTCCACTGGACAACTGGTCGAGTAGTTTTGGCATGGTCTACTGATGAACTCTCAAAGCTTGTCCCATGCAGGTGCCATCCTTGTAGGTGAACTACGACCAGTCTGGCTGGTTGGTGCTAACTCAAACCTATTGGTTAATTCAAGAATCTGCAAGCATATTTGTAACCTGATGACCCCTGACTCCTATTTTTGACTGAAACATGTTGAAACCAGCAACCAGGTGCCCTTTGGAATGAGCCCCAGCCCTTGAAAAAGGTCGCTACTCGTACTGCCTGTTGGGTCGCGGGTCATGCTCATTTACGTGTCATCAGCAGTCCCTAATTGGTATGAGTCACCAGTGCCATCCGGTGCCACGTGCCAGAATCAGAATCGACCTTTGGCATGCTTGGACGAAGAAGCCTTGAAAGACATCACAGCACCGGCGAATTTGAACAGTGCCATGGCCAGATACTGTGTCCGAGCACTTGGTGTGTTGTTTGCGGTGGACTGTGACATCAAAATAAGGGCACAACCGTATGGTTCTATGATGTTCTAAGTCTAATAAAAAACTGCGTCAGGGGCTTGTTGTGAAACTAAGATCCAGGTTCTTTGACCTAAAACTACTGCCAGCTGCTGAAAGGCTATTGCAGTTATCCGTGTATCCGACTTGTAGATATCTCTTTCCAGCTGCAAGCGCTTGGACTTTAAACTCAAAATGTCGGCCACAAGCTCAAAATAGTTGCTTACTGGTTTTCAACAAAGTCTATTGCATTCTTAGCCAAGTGTTTGATCATTGTTTGATCCCACACCCCCGTTCATATAGAGCAACCCCCCCCGCACCCCCAAACCAGATAGAAAGTAGGGGATAGAAATATCAGAATCATAGTTATATACATATATATATATAGTCATAAGATTGGAGACCGGAAACAACAGAATTTGGCTGCTTTTAAATCGAGATGGGAGAAACAGTTGTCACCAGAAAGCTCAGGTGGAGAGCTGCAGGACGTTTGCGCGTGTCATCGGATGACCAAGATTCGGTCACTAACTCGGAGTTTGTATACTTTGACATACCCTCTGGTAATTTAACATAGCTATTGAAAATGGCCATTTATAGTGCGTTTTCCCATTAAAAATGGGGATTTTCCATAGTTAGGTTAGTTTACCAGAGGGTACTTTGTAATCATGACACGTAAGTTATGACTAAGATGATTGATGGGATGAATGCTTTTGATGGTGTCAACACGGTGACACGTGTTGTTTGGTTAGTTTGGTTGGTACTTTAACCCAAACAGCTCCACTTGAAATTAAAAGTGTTACCTGAGGATTGATGATTGCCAGTTCCTTCTCAGGGTCTTTGGATCCGTTTGATGACCTCAAATCTTTCGGAATCATCTTTCGAAGTTCTGGACACACCAAGATCTCAAGGTACGAGACTTTGAACCTTTAGTTTCAGTCGATGTCTTTTGGAATTCTATTTCAGTTGACTTCTCAACACCTTTAAAAAAAGCTAACACAACTCAACAACTCCCAGATGTTGCAGCCCACCAGTGGAGTCGAGAGTCACATGTGTTTATCGGGTATGGGTCAAACTTGAGTACCTCAATCATTGGATAGTTAACATATATACATGTCAATACATGTTAATATCCTGAAAATGGAATTGAATCTGTGGTCTCTCAGGTCTTTAGTTTTGACCCATACCCATTCTATGGAGTTGTCAGCTCAAGAGACTGCTCGCTGCCTTGTGGTTCAAGACCGCGCCCTGTCCGAGCCAATGTCTCTGGACCCGAGAGCCAACGTCTCACGGTTGCCGGTCGATCTGCCTATGGCCCAGTGGGGCTAATGGTGTCCCGTTGGTATGCTTTTCCATAAAATGATATATATCTAATATTACGCTAATTGCATACATAATTATATGCCACGTGCTTATTTCTCATGATTTTATTTCCCTACGTTTCCTTTCCCGATCGCATCGCGAAAACCGGCACTTCCACTATTTCAACTCCCGGTTTGAAGCGGAGTCTGAGCCGCTTGGACAAGAGGCATGTGTGGAGGGTGGAGATACTGTGAAGCGATCGGTTTTTTCGGAATGGTGGATGAATTAGGTTCCTACATGTTCCTATACATGTTCCTACCATTCAGAAACATTCAAGAGTGCTTGATCCAGGTTTTTTTTGGAGGATCCCTTTGCGGTCACAGCACCCAAAACCGGTGAGGAAGGCTTTTGGGGCAGTACCTGCCAGTGCTTTCGCGCACATGAACAAAGGCTGGGCTCCAAGAATTCCCCTTTTCATGTTCGATCTACAGAACTGGTTGGTGGTTTGGAACATTTTTTTCCATATGCTGTATTGGGAATATTTGGGAGTCATACTCCCATTTGACAAATATTTTTCAGAGGGGTAGGTATACCACCAACCGGATAATGTTGGTGACTTTCCCATTTTTCTTGTTTTAAATACCCAATGGGGTTGGCAGTTTTAGCAGAGCTGGCAACACTGTTGTGATTTATACACAGTTTCGTGGTGGTTATTTTTTTTGTAGTTGGTGAGTAATCCCTTCCCCCTAATACACTAAATAATAAACACCTCAGGTAGTTTTTATTATTAGTGTGGTATTTATTATTAGGGAACCAACGCGGACCCTAATAATATTAAACAAAAAAACATGTGTTTTTCGATTTCAACATCAACTTAAATTTCCTTTTATAACGCAATTAAAATATTGCCAAAAATTGGATTTCGAAGCGGGCCCTAAGATTAGATTAAAAACCCTAATATAAAGAACTATTTTTTCGGACGGACCCTAATAAAGGACGGGCCCTAAAAAAACACCCCGGGGTTGACTAGTTTTTATTATTAGGGGTGAAACCCACAAATAGTAGCTTTATGTTTAAATTGTTTTCTAAAGGGGATAAATTAAAAGTCAAATCGGCCAACCTGAAGTTTTCCAAAATTGGAGATGGACCCTATAGTTTTTTTATTGTTCCGGGGGGTTTAGTAACAGGGGGGAAGGGATTACATGTGATTACATTCTGGATGTATTCTGCTTCCCCTTTTGTGATGGTGAATCTCCCATTCTCGTCTCATCGGTCTAACGCCCACGCTCCTTGCTGTACTCGTTGTTTAATCATTGTTTTGGTGTAAGTCTCAATTCTTTGTTGGTATTAGGAGCCTTGTATTCCTCTAATTCTCAGGTTTTCTTCATTAAATCACCCAAATGGTAAAATTTGGAGATTTGCACTTAAATGGGTATGTGTTTCTTTGACAGTCGGTTGATTTTTAGCACATTGTGGGTGAACAGCAACGTTAGCATGGGATCCTTTTGGAGGTTGCTGTGACCGAGGACGCTGGTAGCGATGCTTTGCGCAGCACCTTGGTACAGTATCCAGGGCGATGGTCATAGCATGGTCATTGACCATGTCACATATTCGTGGATAGTCGGGATGGCATTTTGTCGAAACTGGATTCACTAATACAGTGGCAGAAAGTGATTTTTTTTTCCCAAAGAAGGGAAGTTTTGAGTTTCGCACTGGCCAACCCTGCCTCGGATGGTTGGCCCATGTTGGCCCCCTCATACAGCATCGGGTGTCGGCCCAAATCGCGGTTCCAGCTCCAGTGACCATTTCTAAGGTGACTTCAGTGGGCTTAGCTCCTCGGCCAAGGATCAAAGTCTGAAGCCATCTCCCAACACATGCGAAAAGGTATTGTTTGGATGTTCTAGTTTTGTTTAGATACACCCAAGTGCCGCTCTTTAATGCTTTGTTTTGTCTTATCCTTTCGGATCAATACGAGCTACTGGACGAAAACCCCTTCAGTCACTGCGAATCTCTGAACCTGCCAGAAATGGCTAACATGGTCCCTTGCAAGAAATTTCAATGTCATGGTCCAAGGTGGCTTTGTCTGAAAATGGGGGATACCCCAACATGATCATTTCAATTGAGAAAAAGATGATAAAAGATGACATGCAGGTGGATTTAGCCCCCTTGTTGGACAGACATATGTATTTTCCATATGATAACCAAATGGTCATCAGCTTGCAAGTTGGGCAACAAAAAAAGTCTCCCTACATAGTCGATTAACATCATTGAACACCCTGGCGGTCAACACAGTATGTATATACAAATATAGTTGCACCAAGTTACCCTCTGGTAAGAAAATGTGGCTTGCTGGAAAATAATCTATAAATGGTGGATGTTCAGTACAACCATGTAAAAGCACATTATTTCCTTGGTATGCCTGTTCCTTGGTAGCCCTATATACATGTATATATATACATTTATATTTATATATTATATATATATATATATTGTTCGCGTTTCACCAGCCTTTGCGGTGGAATTGAAACCCAGCGAACTAGCGGAGCCAAGCGCACGAGGTTGCGGTATCTGTGCAAACTTTCCAGATCAGTAAGCAGGTGCAGGAGGCTTGGTTGACGACAGAGAGCTGGGATTCGGTCTGCCCCCCCCGGATGTTTGTTGATGTTTGTTGCTTGATTGATGCGAACCACATGAAATAGTGTGATTTATCTACCATAAATCCTACTTAACCTACCAGATAAGACCAACTTGGCTAGGGGGCACCGCCATGTAGACATGGAGTTGAGTCACCGGAGTTGAGTGGAAATTTGAGCAGAGTGGAACTCTGAGGACATGTACTAGGGAAGTATTTGTGTCAACCTCCAAAATAAGCTCAATTTCTGAAGCGCCCGGTAAGTTTCATCCGGCCTTCCACATTACCACCAATCGTGTTCGAATTGCGTATCCCTGTGCTTGTCAACAAACTAAAGTACCAACCATGTTGTATTCCAAAGAATCGGATGAAGAACACATATGGAGGTTTTCGCCCTAGATAAACGGTGGTAATATCCCCACCCCCTTAACCTTGGTTTTGCTAGGGGGGCAGGGAAATTGTAATTTACAATAAACGGGGGGAGGGGGGGGTGGCGAATTGTAAGTTACATTTTTTTGACCCCAAAAAACTAGGGGGGTGGGGGGTTAAAATGTAACAATCGATGTGGGACATGGTAGCTTACATTTTAGCCACCCCCTCCTCCCCAAATTTTGCATGTGCTTGCTAGATTTGGCAAAGGCATACCTGAAGGTCACAGTTTTCATGTGTTTTTGCAGGCTTTTGGAAACCTCCCCTGCAGCTACTTACATGTTTCTTTTGGGGCAGAAGGCTCCATAGATCATCCATGACAATCCTTGGTATCCTCAGATGTGATTCTAAGATATGGTTTAGGTTTAGATAGTTGTTTGGCATGTTATTGTGTCATATGGTACCGTTTGATATGTTATGACACTTTATATTGCTATATGATAGTGTTGTCAGGTTTCAGGCAATATAAATGTAAAATTGAAAAGCCTTTGCGCTGGACGTCCCTGCAAAATGCATATGTTTGTCAACCTGAACTTCCATAACTTACATTTTCTTTTCCCCCATGGCACCTAATGGTGGGTATGTGTTGTATAAATTGTGGAAATAATTGTTTTCTTTCAGCATGGTGTGTATTTTGAATGTATTTTGAATATGTTTTAGATATGATTTAGACATGATTTAGGTCTGTTGTAGATATTTCTTGGTTATGTTTAAGATATGGTTTAGATAATTTTTGGTATTTCAGGATATCATATGGTATTTTTTTGTTATAGGCTATGGCACTTTATATCGCTATATGAGTATGTGTTCTGGTTTTCAGTTTTCTTTCAACATGTTGTGTATTTTGAACTTTTGTTGAATGTGTTTTAGATATGTTTTAGATAGGATTTAGATATGTTGTAGATATTTTGTGGATATGTTTTAGATATGGTTTAGATAGTTTATGGTATGTCATTGCATCATATGGTATTTTTTGTTATAGGCTATGAGTCATAGCCTATGACACTTTATACCGCTATATGATTATGTTTTCAGGTTTTCAGGCAATATAAATGTAAAGTTGAAAAGCATCTGCATCGGATGTGCCTGCAAAATGCATATGTTTGTGACCTGAACTTTCATAACTTACATTTTGTTACTTCCCCATGGCACCAAACAATTGTAATATTACATTTTTCACGTCAAAATCGATTATATATTGTAATATTACATGTTTCATTTTTTCCACCCCCCCTATCCTAGAAAAAAAAAGTAATATTACAATTTCCTGCCCCCCCCCCCTGGTCTAAGGGGTAGGGATGTGGTAGTGAGTTTGTTTCCAGGGTCTCCTGCATGTTTCCCTTGAGGACGATTCACATTTCTGAGATTGTTGCTTATATATATATATTAGTATTATATAATATAATATAATAATATCTGTATGTATATATATTATATATATATATATGTAAAAACATCATATCATATCACATCATATCATATCATATCATATCACATCATTTTATATATCCATATGATCACCATAAAGCTGTGGGTTTTGCCGCTATTGACATAGACACTAATCCCTTTGGAAGTCATAGATGTTGATCCCTATGGAATCAGGTTATCGATGCCGATTCCTTTGAAACTATGCAGGTCAGATATGGTAATGCCAACTCAATTAGGTCATAGATGTTGATTGTTATCTATGGCTTATATATATAGTCATAAGTCATAACTTTAATTTCTATTAGATCATGGGCAAAGATGCTACCTCTATGAACTTAGGTCAAAGATGTTAATCCCTATTGAATTATAGATGATGCTGTGCCTCTTCTAAAATCGCACAACATAGATGGGATTGTCTGAGATGACCGTATTATGTGGATAATTTCACCATGTTCAGACGTATTGTGACACATTCAAATCCCAATGTTTGCTTGTTAAATCCCTATGTTTGATGGTCAATGTCCTATCTAATTGCCTGCAGAAAGCCCGCTGGCCATACAGAGGTGGCCCCAAGGGAGTTTGATGCGCACTCTAGGTGGAAGCTGGACAGAGAAGCAGAAGAGAAGATAAGAAAAAGAAGAAGAAGAAGAATAAAAAGAAAAAGAAGAAGAAGAAGCAGAACAAGAAAAATAAAAAGAAGAAGAAGAAGAAGGGGAGATGAAGACAGTGCCGTAAAGCGGAAGCAGCTTGTGTGGCAAGTGCTTGCAGTAACAACCTATTGACCCAGCAATGCAGAAAAGTAGAGCCAGGTGCTATGTATGAGCCTCCAGCTTGACAGCAGACCGCTGCATGGAAGGGGACAGGGCGGAAGCGGAGAGAGGTTGCCCCAAAAGAGGTGGATGTGCACGCTCGGTGGAAGCCGGAGAGAGACGATTAAGATAAAAGAAGAAGGAATAAGAAGAAAAGAAGAAGAAGAAAAAGAAGAAGAGACGAAGACGGATCCGTAGATCAGAAGCAGCTTGGGTAGCAAGTGCTTACTTTAACAACCTATTGGCCGCATACCAAACGAGCACCTGTCGATCAGTTCATTACCGTGTAAGTCTTGCGGCTGGTATCGGCAGACGTTTGTAGTGCTGTAGATTTCGCAGCCACCGGCACTAACGGTTTAGTACTGGGTAAGAAGGTAGGAGTAGGAGCAGGAGTAGGAGAAGTAGTATACCTATACCGCCTATACCTAGTAGGGTACTTGGGAGGGGGGCGCGAGGGGCGGGGTGAGTGGGGTGTGGACACGATTCAGACGAAGCAAAAACGCGTAGCGAGAGAACAAAGGAACAAGTACAAGCCAAGCACAGAAACAGGAAAAACACCTTCCAATCAAACATGCCGGCAGGCCGGCGGATTTTTCACAGTTGTGGATGTTTATATATCCAATTTTTTGATGGTCAAATCCCTTTTTGGATGTTGCAAGCATCCCCATCTCACCACTTGGCGCCTGTCAGGCGACCCTTGCGTACAGCCTTCGTCAGGTCGCCTTGCTGGCGGCTTTGCTCGTCTTGGCCAACGGCTCGGCAGTGCCTGGTTTCAATGGCCATGGGGGTACCCCAATAGCTGGATGGTTTATGATGGAAAATCCATGGCAATTCCATGTATACACGGATGATTGTACTGTTATATAATATCATTATCGCCTAGGGCTCCGAACACCTTCTGAGACTTGTATTTGGGGCTGTTTTCGGGGTCCAAACACCTTTTCAGAAGGCATTTGGAGCAATAGGGTTTGGTAAATTAGTTATCATTATAGCAACCCCAAAATAGATAGACAAGCTTGACACCCAGTAATACCATCCTGCAAAGTCTTTTCTTTCTTTCTTTGGAGGCTACCATAATGGCGTAAATTCATGGAAAATCATTTTAGTGGATATGGATAGTTCATGGATGATTAACGGATAACTCATGGATAAATGGAGGTTTACCCTCTGGTAATTTGTTACATAGCTATGGACATCACAATGTTTAATTTGCAAATCAACTATTTCTTTGGACCATTTTCCATAGCTATGTTGAACAACCGGAGGGTATGCAATGTTATGTATACACAACATATATGTATGTACAAAGATAGAAAGATGTACTATACAACATTTGTATGTAACAGTCATGTGATGTCATGTAATTGTCATTGATCACTGCAAATGACAGCGAACAAATATCACATTTTTGTAGTTCCTACGTATTATGCCCATAATTGGAAGGACATACAGGCAAGACGGCAATAGTGGTATAAACTCAGTATCAACCATAGCCAATGACTTCCCAGCTGGAGGTTGAAAACAAGTCATGCACTTTCTGGCGATATGCTATGGAACGTCAACGATTATCGAGGGAAAGTTATAAGTCAAATTTCCGACAACATGGACATATGAAAAGCAGAGGTGGGAAGAGTCAGAGAAGAGAAAAGAAGAAAACAAGATCAGAGAAGAGAAAGAGTCAGAAGAAAGAAGATGCAAGCGCGCAAAAAGGTAGAAAAGTCTCGCAGCGTTTTTTTTTATCCATTTTTCCAATGTTTTGTGGCTCCGGACGATCGAAAAGTAGGCGCGCTAAAGCGGCGGGTGCGGAGCCATCTGGTCAGATGAGAGATGAAAAAATTGCACGTCGCTGTGGCGCGAAGCACATTTCCAAGTCCAAATGCTAAAAATACTTCAACGTCGGAGCACTTTTGGAAGTTGTGATGTCGGAAAAGTGCGCATCGTTGTGGCGCCACTTTTTGAAGTTGAGCTGTTGAAAAAGTGCAGGCCGTTGTGGCACGAACCACATGCCCAAGTCAAAATGTGCAAGACACACCAGGTTCAGAGCACTTTTGGAAGTTGAGATGTTGAAAAAGTGCAACCCCTTGTGGCGCGAAGCACATTTCGAAGTCAAAAGTGTAAAAAACTGGCGGTCTCGGAGCGCTTTTTTGAAGTTAAGATTAAGATGTCGAAAAAAGTGCGCGCAGTTGTGGCGCGAAGCACATGTCGAAGTCAAAATTAAATGGTAAAAATACCATGCTCCGACCACCTTTGGAGGTTGATCTGCGCTACAGTGCACTACACTACACGACACGACACTACACAACAACTACAACTACAGCTACAAGTACAAGTACAACTACACCTACAGCTACAACAACAGCTACAAAACAGCTACAACAACAAGCACCACCACGACCACAGCAACAGCAACAGCAACACCACCAACAACAGCAACGGCAACAGCAACAACAACAACAACTACTACTACTACTATTGTTACTACTACTACTATTGTTACTACTACTACTATTGTTACTACTACTACTACTACTACTCCTCCTCCTACTACTACTACTATTGTTACTACTACTATTGTTACTACTACTATTGTTACTACTTCTACTACTACTACTTCTACTACTACTACTACTACTACTAGTACTAGTACTAGTACTAGTACTAGTACTACTACTACTACTACTAATACTAGTACTAGTACTAGTACTAGTACTACTACTACTACTAATACTACTACTACTACTACTACTCCTACTCCTACTCCTACTCCTACTCCTACTCCTACTCCTACTCCTACTACTACTACTACTACTACTACTACTACTACTACTCCTGCTACTACTACTACTACTACTCCTACTACCCTACTCCTACTACCTACTACCTACGACCTACGACCTACGACCTACGACCTAGGACCTACGACCTACTACCTACTTTCTACTTTCTACCTACTACCTAATACCTACTACCTACTACCTACTACCTACTATCTACTACCTGCTACCTGCTACCTGCTACCTGCTACCTGCTACCTACTACTTTCTACTTCCTACTTCCTACTTTCTACTTTCTACTTTCTACTGTCTACTTTCTGCTTTCTGCTTTCTGCTTTCTGCTTTCTAGGTTCTACGTTCTATGTTCTACGTTCTATGTTCTACGTTCTACTTACTACTTACTACTTACTCCTTACTCCTTACTCCTTACTCCTTACTCCTTGCTCCTTGCTCCTTACTCCTTACTCCTTACTACTTACTACTTCCTACTTACTACTTACTACTTACTACAACAGCAACAACAACAACTACTACTACTAATCCTTACTCCTTACTCTTTGCTCCTTACTCCTTACTCCTTACTCCTTACTACTTACTACTTCCTACTTACTACTTACTACTTACTACTTACTACTTACTACTTACTACAACAGCAACAACAACAACTACTACTACTAATAATAATAATAATACTGCTACTACTACCACCACTACTACTACTACTACTACTGCTACTACTACTACTGCTACTACTACTACTACTACTACTACTTCCACTACTACTACTACTACTACTACTACTACCACTACTATTACCACTACTATTACCACTACTACTACTACTACTACTACTACTACTACTACTACTACTACTACTACTACTACTACTACTACTACTATACAGCAGCTACAATCTATAACTACAACTACACCTGCAACCACAACAGCAGCAATAACTACAGCCACAGCTACCGTTACACTACACGACAACTCCAACTCCAACCCCACATCCAACTCCAACTCCAACTACAAGTATTGCACTACACGACAACTACAACTACAACCGCAACTGCAACTACAACTCCAATACTCTTTTCTATATACACTACACTGCACTACGCTTCACTACACTACACTACACTACACTACACTACACCACACCACACTACACTACACTACACCACACTACACTACACTACACTACACCACACTACACTACACTACACTACTACACTACCACTGAGACCACTAAAGTTAGATATATAAACTTCAGGCACTTATCAAAGATAATAAGTATGATATAAGCTGCTATTATCCCATTAATATTAAAATCTTGTTTAAATTGAGTATCTAAATGTATTATGTGTTAACTTCAGCTTTACTGTACTGTAATTTGTTACAGGATATTGTAGATAAAGTCTTATACATGAATATTACCTAAAGACATCTGCAATTATCTGTAAATATTGTTTAAATAAGTGAAATATATTTTCCAACATCTTTTATTGTTTGGGTGGGTCTGCAAACAAAATTAGACTTTTAGTTTAGATTTTACAGAAAAATAATCCAGAAAATTCGGAGAATTCAGAAAATCCAGCAAAAAACAAAAAATAAAAAAAAACAGAAAAAATCGAAATTACAACCAAAAAGAATCCGAAGCTTCAATCACACCCGAAAACCAAACAATTAGAAAATTTACTTAAATTAGAAACAAATTCGGCAATAAAATTTTGAAAATCAAGTAAAAAAACAGAAAATGTTGATTTGTTTTGTTTAAACTACAAGAAATTGAGCCCAGAAAATTTGGATTATTCATAAAATACACCAGCCAATACTGGAAGAATCTAGCAGTTTTCCGCATTCAAAAAATAGGTAAAAATAAGCTCATAAGTTTTAACATAAGCTATGGTAAGTTCAAATAGTTGCTAATATTTTCTTTAAATGCCTGAGGCTTAAAAAAACATCTTCATTTAGTGGTCTCAGCACAACGCTATAGCTACAACTACAACTGCTACAGCTACAACCTCAACTACAACCATATACAACTATAACTACAACAACATCAACGACAGCTACAACTACACTACAAATTGAACTAAAACTACTACTATATTTCACTACACTACACTACACCACACTACATCCAGCAGTTGTGGTTGAGGTGACCACTGCAACCACTCCAAAAAATACATCTCCAACCAGCTTTCTGTCCATCAGCGGATTCGCTCTGCCATCCATGCATCACAACAAGTCACTTCTCCTATAGTTTCCTATCTTTGAAGCTTCCGCCGCCGCCTTGTGTGGTACTACTGGTATATTTACATCTTTTTTGGTCATTTGCTTGCCTAGATTCTGATCATAGATGTCTGTTTCCCATTGTTTGTTTGATTAATAGAGGGTCCCGCCATTCAACAACCAATAGGTAGATGATAACGGATGATGGTAGTATAGAAAACCGGTCCCTCTGTTTTTCCTAAGAGGACAGTTTTGATTCTGATCATTGAAGTGTAAATGTTCATGAGCTGAAAAGTATTGAGTTTGGTCTTGGTCGCGCTCTTCTGAGGCAATTCAGGAACTACTGGAGTTTCTTGGCGGCCAAGGTAGGATAGAAAGGAACCAGTCTGTAGGGTCAAGTTGACAAGAATGAGATCCTCCCACTGGCAAAAACACATTTTTCCCCAAACAGTGTGGCCATACTGAGGGTTTTCTTACGGTAAGTGTTAAGGCCCGGTGTTCATTCGAGGTGGTATCCTTAGCATCCGGCCTTTTCCCTGTAAATTTCTCACAAAATGGCTCTTGTGACATGTCCATGTGCATTCTGACTGCACAGGCTCGCCCAAATCGTGCGGCTCACTTCTGGGGCGCGTCATTTTTCCTATAAATTTTCGTGTCAAATGGCTCTTGTGACATGTCCATGTGCAGTTCGACTGCTCATACAGAATTCTTACAGCAGAGACCTCTTATAGGGAGCTTGTACAGAGATCTTGCCAAGAGACCTCTTATGGAGATCTTGTTGAGGGATCTTGCCAAGAGGTCTCTTACAGAGATCTTGCCAGGAGACCTCTTTTGGAGATCTTGTACAGAAACCTGGTGAAGAGAGCAGAGGTCTTGCTCAGAGATCTTTTATACAGAGCTTGTGCAGAGATCTTACTTTGAGATCCCTCGCAGAGATCTGTGGAGATATCTTATACAGAGATCTCTTCAAGAGTCTTTCCAAGAGACCTCTTATAGAGATCTTGTACAGTACAGGAGATCTTGCCAGGACACCCCTTTTGGAGATCTTGTACAGAGACATTGCACAGAGATCTGTTGCAGAGATCGTGCCAAGAGGTCTCTTTTTAAATCTTGCCAAGAGAGCTTCTTTAGAGAGCTTGTACCGATCGTGTAAAGAGATCTTGCCAAGAGATCTTTTAGAGCTGTACAGAGATCTTGCCAAGAGACCTCTTATGGAGATCTTGTTCAGAGATCTTGCCAAGAGGTCTCTTACAGAGATCTTGCCAGGAGACCTCTTTTGGAGATCTTGTACAGAGACCTGGTGAAGAGAGCAGGGGTCTTGCTCGGAGATCATTTATAGATAGATTGAACAGAGATCTTTCTTTGAGATCCCTTACAAAGATCTTCTGTGGAGATCTCCTATAGACACCAGATAGCCTTACACAGGGATCTTGCACAGCAGCTTCTACAGAGACCCTGTCAAGGAGATCTTGCGCACGATCTTCTACAGATATCTTCACAAAGAGAACTTGCAGAATCTTACCCGGTATCTCATCTCTTCTTTTCACTACTAGGGTCGCTCTTATCCTGCTAGCATGCTGCCACTGATGATTTTAGGTCCTTTCCACCTTTCCCTTTACAATCCTAGCTGCGCACTGTTTGGGGTCTCTTGCCCGTCAAATTTTTTAAGAGTCATTAAACCCACATGTTTTTTTAAATAGAGGGTTGACTTCCCCAGTTTACCTTTCCTAATACCTACGTTCGTTGAGATTCCATCTCAAAGAGGATCACATTTCTGGACAGTGACGGTCCTGGTTTCGCACCCCTGCAGCCTGGAAAAATTACATCATGTTTTCGACGTAGACCGGTAAAGCGACGTAAGGGATATGACAGGATGCTGAATTACGGACTGGGAATCCAATAAAGTGAATTATGACAAAAATTATCCAGATAGTTTGACCGGAGGAATGAGAAAAAACAAATGCATCAATTGACGAAAAAGTACGGGGCTTTCGATATTTTTCGATGTGTGCTACATTTGAGCCTTGGAATCTCACTGTCAAGTAGGGCGCCGTAAGCCTAGCGGCATAGGAAATGCCAGCGTCTTATGCTCGTACAAAATACCCATGAACATTTGTATACATTTGTACTTTGCTAGTTGTCACAACTGTCATAGGTCATTTTTTCAGGTCTAGGCAGATGCAGCCCCACTTCCCAGGTTTGACTCAACCTACATCTCCACTGTGCTCCTTTTCCCGACTGCTGTGATATTTGCGACTTGTCAGCTTGACCGGGAAACAGCAGTTGGAATCTTGGGAACAGCTGGCTCAAAATATACGGGTGTTTCATGGCGTGTCTGGAAAGGGGATCCGGGACACTGCAATACTACGCCTGCAAGTATTTCAAGAGGTAAAATGATGTTAAACTATTTGGTGGGGGGACACTTGTTTGTTGATGAATAGAGATAATAGTATACAAAACCGGCCCCTCTACTATTTCTAAAAGGACAATTTTGGCTGGCATAACCCCAAATCCTAGTTGTTGTTTTCCTATCGCCCTATTGGTGCTTTGTTTTTGTTGATTGCGGTGTCCTCTTCATTTCTTTTGTCTTGAACTCATGTGTGGATGTGGACTTGTGCCAGAGAAACTTGGGTGAACGGTAGGTTACAGGGTACTTTCAACCCACAAGTTTCACAAATGGAGGAATCTGCTCAAGTAACATATATATATAATTGTAGATGGGATCCGGTCAAAATTCCCTAGTAAAGAAAAGTAAATTGAATAGCGAAAGTAATTCTAGACCATTGGTTTTTTAGTCTTCGTTATTTGGCAGGCCCCCAACTAAACACGCCACTTCTGCAGCTTGGGGCCAGATTCGCGTTAGCGGTGTCTATCACTTTTTTGTTTTAACATTCCCAGGAAGTAGTTCACTTGTACATTTGGCCTGGCATTGGAAGGAAATTTCTTCGTAGTATTATAGTAGCATTGTATGGAAGTGGCATGGTATTGAGATGATGTGATACTATGTTGTTTGCCAACCGTATCCAGAATGCTTTGCATTGCTATGGACGTTTTCAATTTTGAAACCCACAGTGCTTGTCACAAATATTTCCAAAGTAGTGCAGTCATCCGCGCTAGCCTGGCACCAGCGCTGCGCTAGATCCGCGCTAGGGAACATGTGGCAATACCAGCCCTGGCCCAGAAGTCAAACATTTGTTGTGGATTGTTGTGGCACTTAATTCTTTTTGCTCGAAACATGAGCGGAGTGGAAGTATCAAAGATAAGGCTAAGGGAAGTACCAAAGATTACCAAAGATTAGGGCTCGAACTGATTAGGGAAGTACCAGAGAGCTTTACAAGTAAAGTAAAGCGTGCCAGAGGCACTCACCAAAGTCGATCACTGCAGGACATGGCACAAGAATCAGACAGTAGCACGTCACCCTCCTCCTCCTCCTCCTCCTCCTCCTCCTCCTCATTCGAGAGTGGTTGAATGTGCCGCGCGCTACCCACGTTCTCAACGAAACGAAATTCAACAATGATTCTTCCTTGTGTTTTAGAAAACATAGCAAGATACATGATCTAGAAGTAAAGTTATGTAGCGGGCCCCCCACCTATTTACGACTTTTGCACACTTCTGAGAAAAGACGTGTTCACCAGCCACCATATTTTATTAACATATTATATTATATATATATATTTAATCATTAGGGCGTCGAAGACACACACACCCTAGAGGGGTAGGGTTTTTTATCAGGAGAGGGATTCTCAAAAAATAATTGATCACAGAAACTGTGAAAACATGTGAAAACGATCAGACAAAAATGGTACTGGTAAACTCTATATTGAAGGAGCCACTGGCAACCAACGCGCCTCGACAAAGTGTTGTTTCTGCAATCACCACTTCTCACCACGACTTGTCACCACTTGTCACTTGAACCTTTTCAATGTGCAGAGTGATGTGTGAAAGACATTGAAAAAATGGAAGTGTTGGTTTCCAGCCTAGAAACGTTGTAAAATGCTCTCAAAATGTCTGGCCTGGTCCAGATTTATTGAGATGCATATATGTAATGAATTCACTTTGTTTCAACATGTCTCAAAGGTACTCAAAAGTGTTTTTTTTTCAGCTTGGAATACGGGAGTGTCGAATACACAAGGTAGCTTGGGGGGGCTGAATTTCTCAAACATTCTCAAATGTTCACTTTTTGATATGTGCTGCAATTTATTTTAGACCACTGTTCATGATGATGTGTTCCTTTTGCTTTGTTTAGGCAATTATGTATTTGGTGTTTCTCTTTTTATTCATGTTTGTTTCTATGTCCATTCTGGGGGGCTATGCATCACCTGTCAGTGTCTTGATCACCCGAACGTATTCTCTGCACTTGACACTTGATCGCCTGATCATTTACAGTACCTATCCCAAGCTGTCACAGTTGTTCACTTACTGTATTGTTTTTTATTGTGGAGTGTGTGCAAGTGTGTTTTATCTGACTTTGGGGGATTTGTGTTGAATGCCTTATTAGCAAGTGTTTGTTTTACTTAGCTTATACAATGTTACATGTTTAAAGAAACATATAGATCCCTACTTAACAAAAACCCGTTTGGTCTACCTGGTCAGAACATTTTTTTTGACTAACAGGAAGCATCATGGACTAAGCATAATAATACTTATTGATGAACAGATATCAATAAGTTAACAATAGTATTACATATATTATATACATGTATATATATATTGGAAATTTTAGATTCAAACAATGAAACTGGCAAATAATAACAACAGTAGCTATCCTCCAGCCCTCCAGCGATACTAATTACTCATCATGGTTGCTCTTCTTGCACATATACTATATACAGTATTTCTGGTTGGTGGTTTGGAACATTTTTATTTTTCCATATATTGGGAACAATAATCCCATTTGACTAATATTTTTCAGAGGGGTTGAAACCACAAACCAGTTATACGATCTTATACTATGACATAGCTAAATTATTGGGGATGATGAACAGCATTGAAAAGCCATGGAAACGCGAAAGCGTTTTCAACCAGTATATTTACTGAGATGGGAAAACACTCCGTATCTTTTAAGCCCAATCTAGTTGCAGTGACCTCAGACAAGCTCACCTTGATGGTGAGTGGCTCAAAGCTATCAGCCAAATGGCAATGGATAAGGTTTCGGTTTCAGGCTGATTATGGATGATTTATGGATGATTTTTGGATGATTTATGGATGATTTATGACTTTGTTGCCAGATAACATGGTCTAAACCAAGTGTCCGAAATGCTCGCATCATTCCCATTGGGGTTCACTATAGCGGTTTCTTTTTATTTGGTCAGTATCCCTTGCAGATGGAGCACTGAAAGGTTCTCCCACTTCGAAATTGGGACTCATATGTCAATATATATATATATACATTTCTAGATAGATACTGAATAAGTTTTTTTTTCTGACCATACGGTACTCCCGAATGGAACGGTTTATTATAATGTATCCTCGTAGTATATTAAGAAGGCCATTCAGGCCATTCAGGAGTATCCACCTCTTCGGGGAAGAACCCATCGTTGCCGATCAATATAGCTAATATACACAGCCAAATCTATCCCATGATTTCTGGTTAATAATACCACTATTAATTATTGAAATATGTCCCCACAAAATACAAAAATATGATAATAATATTAGTAGTCTGCCTCTTTCTCTATATTTATAGATATACAGATACATAATTACAAACATCTTGTAAAACGGGTTAGATTCACTGCACATCCCTAAGAAAATCATAGATGGCCCCTGGCCCCCCCGAAAGAAAAGCAAAACAAAACGGGGGCTCGGCGAGGTGGTGGTGCTTGGCCGAGCCACCTTGCCGGAGCAAAATGAGAAGATCGCGAGTTCGTTGCCTCCTTCGCCCCTTGGAATGACAAAGGGTTTTGAACATTGCTCAAACTCAAATGATGGACTGAAATATGATTGAGAAATTGTGAGATTTTCTGGGATTTCTTCAGAGATATGATACACATGGGAATATGAAGCGGGGTGAGGGTAGCTTGTATTTTTTTGTTATGGTGGGTATTTTTACAAACCAAGTTAAGGAGCTGGACGAAAGATCCAAAACAAGTACTCTTTGTACTTGTACTAGTAGTTCAAAGTGACCTTGAGGGATAGCAGTGACCATTTCGGGACTTTTGTCTTCATAGTTCATGCAGTTATAGCCCAACTAACAGCTATTTTCTATGGACATTTGACTCCTATATCTCAGGTTATATATCATTAACCCAGTTATAGCTGTTAAGGGCCATAACTGTGAGTAATGGGGTTCAATTTAATGTTTTCCTGTGCTGTAATTGGGGAAACTGGGATCGATCTTCGCAACAATTCCCCATTTACTTCGATGCTATAAACCTCCATGGCGCCACGGGGATTTTCTTTACCTGGCAATTAGCAGTAGCAATACCAAAGGGACCAGGGGGTAGCCAGTTGCCGGATCATCTAAGCATGTGTATATATATATATATATACACAATTATATACATATACGGAGTTTTTTTGGTTGTTTGCTGAGCATCTTTTGGTGAATACAATCTACCACTGCGAGTTGTACCATCCAACCTACCACGCTTGAACCTAAGAAATGATCATATACATTTTTGGAGGCATGTAGTCTTCCAACCCTCTATTTGGCAGAGCCTAGTTTGATTTGAAGGATGGTATGCACCAATAAACATGGTGATGCAATTGATAGAACTTTGAAAAAATGATGGATGATGGGTGAAAAACGACAGGTGAATGATAGGTTTTCCGGGGAGTTTTAATCATCACGGTATCTCAGAAAAGCCTGCCATTTGGATCCATGGGTTTCCAAGCCATGGAGCATTATCCATTCTAGACGATTTAACTTGTGCTAAACATGGCCATATCCAATGGCAGTGTTTATATACCTATTGGATCCCAGGCTTCAAAACTTGACAGGGTTTGGGCCCTCAGGAAATGCTTAAGGACACCTGGCACTGTTGAAATGATGGGAATTGGATTGGAGGTATCCTACCCAAACGACCGGACTTTTCAGGTGATGTTTGCCAAGCCTGAAGAGAACAGGACATGAAGTTTATGCTTTTTATGATGATGATTCCGAATGTAACCAACAAAGGTGAGGGGTAATCCTCGCTGGAACACAAATATGTTCAAGAAACAATGAGTTGTTCGCTGGTTGTGACAGAAAAAAAAACGTGATTTATCCAGCAATTTTTGAACATGGAAGTGACATATGCCAAACGGGTGCAGGACAAAACAGCTGTGCATAAATCGCAAAACATGGGGATGAACTCAGTATTTGTACCAGGTGGTGCCCCCTCGGTTTATAAACCCATCAAGTTACAGTAGATATGTTTACCACAAGTCCAAGTCATTATGGTTATAAACCAAATTAGCTATTTACGGGGCACCACTTTGTACCGGGCAGTTCAATGTGACCGTTCTGGTGTGACATGACCATGCAGGGCTCACTTTGAATGGCCTGGTTGCCATGGGAAATTGATCCTTATGGGTCCAGCTGTACCTTCCGAAAAATTATCGGTATGATGATTGTGGGGCGATTTGTTCCTTCCCTCGAAGGAAGTATCTGGATCCATAGGGATTGATAGGGGATGTTGTTTCCCGCTTCAACTTGAACATTCTGAAAAACGGTTGAAGCCCAACAAAAAATGCATGAATCATGCTTGATGTTGGCGTGGATTCAACACCTCACAAATCATTGTTGGATTGGGCTAATACTTTGTAGCGTCTAAGTCAAGTCGCAGATATAACTGATTCTAGGCTGCAACAATGTTTGACCACATTATATATTGTAATTTAATTATTCCCTATAGTTATAGATTTTTGTCGTGGTCGTTATACCCCCAATATATCGCATCCCCCTACTGTAATATTAAACACCGCCCATAAACCATGGTTTAGCAAGCATTTACATACATTTGGGAAGATAATTATGGTGTGTGTATGTGTAATATTGGGCCACGGGATTGTATAGTGCTTTAAATCACCATGTTTCAGCCGTAAATCATTTTTTCCTATGGAATCACCACTAAAAATATTGCAATTTCCTGGCTGCCACAAACCTCGACTGGGGATGGTTGGGTTTTCCACCAATACCATCTGCTAATATGACATAGCTATTAAAAATGGCATCTTTATAGTGATTTCACCCATTTTAAGGATGGTGATTTTCCACTAATGGCGATCTCGGTAGATGGTCACCTTGGACGCCAGCGACCTGAGGTTTACCTGTCCAGTGGATGTTGAATCGCCAGCTTCGCCCACTTCCAGCCCCCTGGCATGGTGTAACGCATCGCTTTCTCCATTCAAAGATGTTAAAACCACAGAAAATCCGTGGGATTCTCAGGATCCTAAAATGGAGCTACTAACTTAGTACCATATGTTTGGCGATATTTTGTGGGGGGTATTCTGTGAAATGTCGCATTAAGACACAGGCCTTATTTGTATGGTAGGTACCTCCAGTTTTGGTTCCAATGGCCATTGATAAATTTGGGTAACGCAAAGCCACCAGCGTTTTGAGAAGAACCTCAATCGGAATTGACCTTTCTGAAATTCATGTCAAATCCCTTGAAATGGTGCTGATTTGTCAACATCTGGAACGGGCATAATTTAACATCGTTTAGCAAGAGGTTCATATTGGCTCCATGGTTAGTCTTCATCCTGACGGGAACCAAGGAACAGGCTGCGCTTGTCGATGTAGTAGAGCCATTGTTACGTCATGTTATGTCAATGGACAATCCAATGGACACTGTGACACGCTTTATGTTTCGGACTGGGAACCTACCTCCGCCTCGGACGTCAGGATTGGAGTCGGTCCACGTGAGCGTGTCCGAGGCCGGTGGGCTTTCTCGGCTTTTGGGGCATTGGGGATGGGTTTTAATCCACGACACGGAGAATTTGAATGCGAAAATCATGGGAAAAGATTGGAACACCCACTTTACTCTCGGTGTTTTCAATGGGGAAATCATCGGACTGAATGAGGAGATTTTCCGGTAAACTATCTTTGATTGCGAGAGGGCAATCAAGTAACTGTACCAACCAACTATATAATGTCAATAAGCGGTGGTACAACCATTCAGTATATGTTGATGGTTTATACAAACAATTTACGATAGACTTAGGGATGGTTTACTGTTGTTTCACCAACATGATTGATAATAATCAACTATATACCTAGCAGTTTTTTTTAAACCATTTCTTGTAATCAGTCATTGTATATATATATATAATGTTCATATGGATATTTATGTATATATATATATATATGTATATAGATATATCAAAATGTATACATATATATATATATGTATAGTGGGGAAGTAACCAGTAGATGGGGAAGCAGTACGAATAGAGTGGCCAATCATAGAGCTAGTATACATGTGAGTGGATAGGTTTATTGACATATGCGTGGGGACATTTGTTGGACTATATTTTGGGATTTTCAAAAATTAACGCTGGGTTGATCCAAAAACTGGGGATGGGCAACCAACTCATTGCCATTTCATAGGGGAAGATTGTGATAAATATTGTATTTTCATGTTTTTTGTTTTTGTTTTTAATATGTGCCCTATGTTAAGACAAACCCAAATTAAAAGCGGGTTGTCACAACCATATTGTTGACCATGGACCATGAATATTGTTTTGACTGCGGAACGAGGGTAGACTCGATGGCATTTTGTTCTACACTATGCCCAGTCAATTGGAGACTGCGGTTGTCCCCAACAAAGGAGTTATCATGGTTAGTAATCATTTACCCAGTCGCCCCCTCGTGCTCCCTCATGGTAGATTTACCAAACATGACCCGAACAAAAACAACCTTAAATGACCCAGGATTCGGATTCACATCCCAATCCTCGATCATATGATATGTTTCAACCTTGCTGGTTGTTGTTTATACTGGTTACTTGGTGGCGCATCCCACTTAGTACTGGCAAATGGGTTATATCTCCAGTCATATATGGGCTATCTCCAGTTAATCCCAGTTATATATATATATGGTCTATATATGATATGGCTTAAAAAAGAAACTTCTTAACTTGGATGCACATCTATATTATTCTACATTTGTCTTTTGCCCATACGGTGCCAGGGTTTTCCCCCCCACCATAATAATTCGCACGGGTTGACGCCCGCGTCTAGTACCTTTCCAAGTGACAGAGAAAGTGGATGCAGACAGATCTGAGACCATTGTTATTAATGGTTATACAATGATGCGGATATTAATGGTGTATATATTGATGGTTATTGAAAGCGCAGTTCATGGTTATTCATGGCTATTAGAAGTTATCAACGGTGCTTTATGGTTATGAATGTCACATGTACCCTAGTTTCATGATGTTTCATCATGGCTAACAATGGTGATTAATGGATCGTCTCACAGATCGTAACTGCCTAGTAAGCATCTAGACAAACACTGGCCATTTCAGGTACCGATTTATTGCAATATATGGAAGGTCCCTATGCAGCATAAGGCTTACGTAAGGGCTATGTCATGTGAGGAGATATGCCCTGAAAATATTGCTCTGTGGTACAGTGCCTCTCTTTAGGGTCCTGGGATTCCCACCCAGGGACGAATCAACACCCCCATGGATCATAGTTCCATGTATCCCCTACGAAACCATGGTTTGTGGGGGGTGTTTAATGTTACCAGATAAGCCCTTAAACTAATCACGGTTGCTGTTGGTCCACATTTTCCTTGGTCAAGTCAAATCCCAATTTCTGTTTGGCGCACAGTTTTTGTTTTGTGAACTCTCGATATTTTTGGTGGACATTCCAGATTTCTTTCTTGGATTCTTGAATATCCCTCCCAGTCTAAATTGTTGAATCCATATTTGCCTTGGTGAGATCCACATTTCTTTGCCTCTCCCCTTCCTTTTGTTGGTCACTCCTCACGTTCCTTCAGCTCTTTAAGTGCACATATTGACATAGCCTGACCATTGTGGGCAATGGCAATATCCAATCATTAGGTAGCTTTTGGAGAACCACCTCTTTTGCTGCTTAATTTGCTGTTAATCATTGTTCCGCGTTCATGGTTCAGGCCCTAACGTGTTTTTTGCAAACCTATGTTTGTCTTGGTAAAATCCCTTCTCAAATTGGTCAAATTCCAATTTGTTCTGTTATATAATTGAATCCATGGTTTCCTTGTGGCTAAGTTGTATGTTTGTTTGCTGGTAACATGTTCTATTTATACCCTATTGGCCCAAATTGGCGCTATTCTTTTGTTTTTGTGTGGTACTAAATGGCAACATCCCCACTTCAACAAACCAGAATTCATTGAGCATCCCCCCAAAAAAACATTCACGAATTAAAATTTCCATACCCTGGCTTCCGACGTGCATCTGGGTCAAACATATATTTTTTTTTAAGAAAAGGCCCTGGCTTTCAGACCACGTTGTGTGTGCCAGGGACAATACATCCAGTCATTGACCTACTGAGTTCAATCAACCTAGCTGACAAACTAGGGCACCACCAAATGCACGACTATTCCCATTGTTGTTGGCTACAACACCCTATTATGATTCATTGGTTACCCAGTATTGTTGCTTATACCTACAGAATGTGACTATGTTTCTGGACATGTTTTGTGTCTCCTCAATACTTATATGTGATCTCCGCTTTCATTATTTCAACATGTTTTTTTTCTGTCTACTCTAAAATGAGAGTGGGTAAAGCATCTCGTCCCGTGCATTTAGTATAACCCTGGTGATTGCAAGTTGAGTCGTGGATCTGTGGGATGATCCAGCAGTTGATCAGAAATTCGGGGTTGATTTGAGCTATTTAAGCCATCAGCATCGTAAGTAGGTTTTTAAGAAGTAGATCTTCAATAGTATTTATTATTGATTAATCACTATCTTGAATGTATCATGGATAGCTATCTTTATTTGACCTAATCTACTTCTTGGCGGTTCACCTATTTGGAAACCTCACCGAACTTGCCAGGAGACGTCTCCGACCGTGCCACCACCCCCCAGCTTCGTTCTTTTGGACTCCCAGACGCACCTGCAGCGTCTGCGGCGTAGCAGGTACCGGAGGCGAGGCACGAACCACTCAGGATTTTGGGGAGCAGCCATTTTGGCAGTCTATTAATGATGATGATTTAGAATACTTTATATATATATATATACAGTGTTGTTGTGATTTACAGTGATTTATAGTGATTGCAAGTGATTTATAGGCGTTAATAGTGATTACTAGTCATTGATTTCGACTATGTAATAGTGATTGACAGTGATTAATGATAGTGATTATTAGTGAATATTATTATTAGTATTAGTGATTATTAGTGACTAATAGTGATTATTAGTGTTTATTAGTGATTAGTAGTGTTTCTTCTAAATGATGTATAGTGATTACTAGTGATCAATAGTTATTAATAGTGATTAATACTGTGGATGGAAGAAATCCTGTACCCGTTGATAGGTGGTTTAATCCCATTATTTTTGGGGTTTCAACCATCCAAGGTGGTGCAGGATTTCTTCCATCCACTGTAGTGATTGATAGTGATTCATGTTGATTATTAGTGCTTAATAGTGCTTATTAGTGAGTAGTGAATGATTAATGTGGCTTGCTTATATAGTTATAATCATCTATGGTATAATATAGTATAGTTATTTGATGACTGGTTTGTATTTATATGATTATATAGTTATAGTATCGCATATTGATGACAGAAACATTCTCCAAGTTTGATGTTATGTCATGTTGATTGATTTTATCTGACGATATCTACTGTATACATACAGAGTTGGATACGGTTTATTGAACGGACAAAATTGATAGACACAAGAGATTCCGATCCTAGTCTTGGGTGGAACATGGAACCAGAGTGTTGGATTCAATGCCCCCAACAAAATCGTTTGAATCTAAAACCTAACTTGAAGATTCCAATAGTATACGCTAGTAGGCCCCATTTCTTCCTGGTGTTGAAAGCTACGGATGGAAAGTCATTAGGTTTGAAGGTTGACTCGTTGACCGCATTCCAGCCACATGTTTGTTGGTTGTACACCCACCTTGATTGCTTAACCACCCCAACCCTGATCAGGAAAGGGATCCATGGCGGGTCAACAACATCCCCACAATGCCAGCCGATAGTGAAGATTATTAAGGAGTCAATACAAGAAATATGATGGTCCTGGTGGAGTTGTCTGAAAAAAAAAATAGTTGTAATACTTTCAATTATTCGGACATGTCCCCATGCATATGTATTACTTTACTTGTAAATTTAGGTGATTTTGTATGTAAATATAATTAATATAATTTCTTAAGCCAGATGTTAGTTGTCATTTACTCCATATTACCCGTAGAATATTATATTATATAATAGGTACATGTCCAATACATATTCCAGATCATTTCTTATATGTGGTCATTTTCCCCCGTTTTCCCGACAAGCAGCTATGCATCGTGACACGCCACCGACGTGCGTAGGTCACAGCTCCCTTCCATCAACGAGGATTTTTGCGCTGACACACCGATACTTGGAAGATCTGGCGCTGGTGTTCAAGTCCAATATTTGCGACATAAACAGACAATCAGACATATTGTAACCATAGTTTCTTTTAAACATGGTGGAATTACACACAAAAAATGGGACTTGGAATTGTTTTTTTTTATCCCGCACTCCTGCACAATCATTTGATTTAACATTTTAAAATTAGGATAATATAAATTCGCAGATAAGCACGTACTGACTGGATTCTAATCCATGACACTTGTAAGTTCACAACTTAGTTGCTCAGCATGATTCCTAACTGTCCCAATTTAGAGGATCATCGAGTCAGGCGTGAACTACAAGAAGTGAAAAAAACAGTATTGACGAGAACAAGTGAACAAGTGCGAAGTAACCAGCTAAATACTCAACAAGCGTGAGAACTTACTTACAACGACAGGAATTAAACCACTCAAGTCGAAACATACGCATAAGTTGTATGTAAGTATGACACACCCCTAAAAAACTATCACCACAATTGCTTGCTGCATGTCTTCAGCTCCCAGATCCCAAAGGAGAATGATGGATTTGGATATCATCGATGTTCCAAATTCCCACTTGCCGATTCGGACAAATTGGGATCATTAAACAAGCAATGTTGTATAATGTTGTAAATGATTTTTGGAATAAGGTACATCAATCACTAATTCACCTGAACTCTGTTAATGATGCCATTAGAGCAAGGTATGGTTATTTCGGTGAAGGTTGAAGCCTGGATCCCCGTTGCGGGGGTCCAAGCATCACGTTTGCATGCGCAACAGCAGCCAGACTCAGATGATCAAGGATTTTGTAGTATAACAAGTCTGTTGATAGATATCCCTTTGATGGATATAGGGACGGTTATCATTCAATGATCATTTCATGACATTTATGAATTTATGTTTTGTTTTTTCCCAGTATGTATATCCATAAGTCGGATTGTTGTGTTTCTATGGGGGTTGAGAGTTTATCACGTTCATGGATCACGCAGCCCAGCACGGCCAAACTTCTTCACCAGTCAAATCAATGCTTCCACCAGATTGAAGGCTACATAGTTGCCTGGGCAACCTGAAACCTGCTAACAACCTGGATTTTCTTGCCAAGAAACAGGCGACAATAGTAGTTGTTAGTTGGAAGTTGCAGGCTTCATGATAGGAAACTACTCTCCTTTGATAAAGGTCACTTGTAATCCACAGCTGTATATGGCGGGCCGGCGTAAAAATAGCTACCGCCATTGCCCAACTTCGTGTCGGAACAAATGGACCCCAATGAAATCCCATTGTTTATCATTACTTGCCAATTAAACAATGGCCGCAAATTGACGTCTCCCCTAGTTTGATAAAAACCTTTGTATACTATGATTAAACCCAACAAGAATCCTCCTATTTAGGATTTTTGGAGTATACAACAGCGTATGCATGTCTACATAATAAATCCACTATATATATATATATAATGTCATATGTACGATAAGATTGATGATAGTAATCACCATCGTCATGAGAATAATAATCATCACCACGATCATCATCATCATCATCATCAGCATCAGCATCGGCATCAGAATCACCGTCATCGCCATCATCACCATCATCACCATCATCACCATCATCACCATCATCGCCATCATCACCATCATCACCATCATCACCATCATCACCATCACCATCACCATCGCCACCACCACCACCATCATCATCATCATCATCATCGTCATCATCATCATCAGCACCATCACCATCATCACCATCAACATCATCACCATCACCATCTCCATCACCATCACCATCACCGCCATCGCCATCACCATCACCATCATCATCATCATCATCAGCATCATCATCACCATCACCATCATCACCATCACCATCACCATCATCACCATCATCACCATCACCATCACCATCACCATCACCATCACCATCACCATCACCATCACCACCATCGCCATCGCCATCCCCATCACCATCACCATCATCATCATCATCATCATCAAAAGAGTGATAACAATGATAATAATACTCAATAATACTCATATAACAATGATGTACACATGTTTAACCCAGTTTTAACCACCTATTTATGGAAAAAAATAGGGATCGTTTATGGCCATGGGCCTCCATGGGCCATACCAAGGAAGTGGATGGCCTACCTTGGAGCGCACATGGCGTGTCTCGGTGGATTTTATGATCACTGCCATGATCTCACCATCCAAATTGATGGGAAAATCCATGGAATCCGGGTTGGCCCTATTTTAGGAAACCCTCACGTATGAAACAAAAAAGAGAGCCTCCAAGAATCTAGGATCACTGCAAATTGCAACATCCTCCGGTAATCTAGCATGGCTTGCTGGACAATTCCTCATCTGCGCGCAATTTTCCCAGCAATAAGTCAATAAGCATCCATTTATAGAGGACACTCCATTGCTATGAGAATCTTCAAACGTTGGATCATTGAAACTCACTGCTGGGGACTTCCAGCAATACCTACCTTATCAATGTGTTTCCATTTGTTTCCTTAATATTAACATTAACATTTGGGGAACGTTTTGCTACATTCAGCCATGTTCATGGGTACTTCACATATTGGGTGAGTGATTCTTACTTCACAGGTAGGCTACAATTTTGCAAATTGTGTTTCAAAACAGCAAAACCATGCATATATTTGATATGTGTTTAGTTAGTTGACCAGAGAACTACAAGATTTTTTTTTCACACTCAACTAACTTGCGCTGCTTGCGCCTCTTGCGGTTGCCCGTTTCATTATACGAAGTTGTACTGATGACTTGAAGGCCTCTATAGCGTCGAGGGATGCCAATGACCAATGACCGCAAGTGTGGTCTACTGAAAGTTCCCAGAAAGGCAGTGGAAAGATATGGAAACGTCCCATAGTTGGTGCATGTGGCCGCCCTCTAAGGAATGAGTCAGCGCAGGTCTTGGTCAGGTCGATAGTAACTGGGGTACCCATTTCTTTTGCCCGTACCATCCCCACCCCCTTAACCTAACCTAGGTTTTCAGGGGGGGACCTTACAATATGTAACTTACATTTTTCGGGCTGTTTTTAGGGGGGTTAATTGTAAGTTAAAATCTCTAAGGTACCAAAAATCCACGGTTGGAAGGGTGAAAAATGCAAGTTAAGACCCCCTAGGTATGGTCCTGGTCGAAGCAGAATCTAGGTATTCCCCAGGAATACACCACACACGTAGTGACTATGGAAATGGGGGGGAGAAAATGTAACTTACATTTTTCCCCCCCCTCCTTTTTGGGGGTACCACTATATCTGTACGATTTAATTCGGCCTCACGACGTCACCCCGAATTCACGAGGCAGAATTTTGAAATTAAGGGTATGTTCTTGGTATTTCTTGATGTTTTTATATTTGTTTCTGTTTTTTTTGTAATCCTGGCACCAACCTTGTTATAACTGTTGCCTTTGCTGAGCCTTTGCTTCTGTCTTTATTCCATGAGGGCCCAATGTTTTGTGACGTCCCAAGAAGTAGCTTACATTTTTTGAGGAATAGAGGCTTCCACAGAAATGGCACCTTCAAAAGTGTAAGTTACATTTAGGAAGGTTTTACCTCAAAAATGTAATATTACATTTTTCAGATCCCTTGAAATTTCAGAGGGACCTATCCTAAATGTAACTTACATTTTTGAAGGTGCTGATTCTATGGGTTTTCCACAAAATGTAAGTTACATTTTGGGGAGGTCCCCAGCCAAAACGCTAGGGATCCCGTACCCAGATGATTTCGACGTGTCTCAGCCACGGAGCCACGGAGGAAGGAGCTGCTTCCACGTGTTCCTGCTGGAGGGAAAGAGCACACCTGGGACACAGTGCCTGGGTCGTGGGACACGCACCGTGGTTAATCATTTAGGGAACATGTCAACAAAGAACAGCAATAATCTTTAATACAGGTACAATATTAATGAATGGTTCTAAGCTATGTTATTGTGGTATTTATAATGACATTCAAGACCAATGTTCAAAGACAGTTCAGTACATACCAGTAGTGCCCGGCACGCGCCGGGGCAGAAGTTTCGAAAACAGGAGGTGATTATAGGAAGAAGAGCGCCTATAGGAATTTGCGATGAGTTGGAATAAATTTGAGATGGTGTTCTCAACAAAAGAAAGCCTGAATGAATGGACATATTGATTGGTTGATTGGTTGATTGATTGATTGGTTCAATGAATGAATGACTGCATGAACGAACGAACGAAGGAACGAACGAACGAACGAACGAATGAATGAATGAGGAAAGAGGAAGTGAGGGGACAAATGCATGAAAAAATAACGAACGAGTGAGTGAAGTAATTCTTTGAAGAAGTGAAGGAGTGAAAGAATGTAGCTGAAGAAAACAAAAAATACTTCATGAATTGCAGGAGGGAGGGAATGCAGCAATGACGGGATGAATGAATGGTTGAATGAATCAAGGAATGAGTGAGTGAATGAACAAATGAAAGAGTGAATGGATGGATGAATCACTGAATCAAGGGCTCAACGATTCAGTGAGTCAATGAAATCAGTGAATCAACGATTCAATGAACCAATGGTTCAACGATTCAGTGAGTCAATAAATCAATGAATCACTGAAGCATTGAATCAATGAACCAAGGAAAGAATGAATCAATGAATTTAGCCAACTTCATCTTCCAAAAGTGCTCTGTTCCCTTCAGGTTTGCGAATTTTCAATACAAAGCAAATTCTTTGAAATGCACATGTTGCTTTCACTACTGTCTGGTGCACATTTTGCCGACCTCATCTTCCAAAAGTGTTCCGATCCCCGCAGTTTTTTTGCGATATCTATGTGAAACCGAGCCCACTCTCTCTCTCTCTCTACAGTCTGGTGCGCATTTTGCCAACCTCATCTTCGAAAAGTGTTTCGAACGTGACAGGTCTTTACGATCTTTATGTGAAATCGAGCTCTCAGTCCTGCGCGATTTTTGCCGACCTCATCTTCCAAAAGTGTTCCGGGCCCGTCATTTTTTTAAACATTTTTAAACATGTTTCAACATTTTGAAGTGCAAACCAAGCTCTCGCCACAGTCCTGCACTTTTTGTCGACAACTTTCCCAGATCCAGGCCTGCAACTCCGGAAACAGCGGGAAGCCACTTAACCTGAAAAAACGCAGGCTTTCGCACCCGAAAGTGTGACCTGTGAATTGAACATTTCCGAGCTGTCACTCTTCCCATGTCCCAACTACTTGATGATGATGTGGTTGACATGAGGGTGTAGTTGACATGATGAGACCTTAACATGATGAACATGATGACAAGACTGCCCTTGGACATTCGGCGGTAACTCGGAAGTTTTCGAATCAAACTTCCTTTGGCAATATGCAGATTTCAAGTTGATGAATAGTTCTTGGAACATCTTGGAACCCTGTATGTAAGGCAATCATGATCAAGGGGGTCCTTCACACACTTGCTGGACTTACCACTTATCCGGAATCCGAAACTATACGATGGTGTGCAATAAAAGGGAATGGATATCACTTGGCTGATTCTACTTTTTGCACTTGTATATTTATGTGTATATATATATATATACATTACATATCTATTTAGATTTGTTTGTTAAGTATATGTGATATACATATGCAGCATTTTTAGATTTATATCATCACTTACAGTAGTTGCTAGTTATTTATAAGCATATTTGTACCTTTATATATCGGCTCTACATATACGATACAACTCATATATATATATATATATACACATGTATGGAAAACTATATATATATACATATTAAAGGTCTGATATCACATCTACGATATATTTAGTATTGTATGTATATATAATATGTGTTATATGTATATCAATAAAGACATATAATGATATTTTTTGTACGTACGTACGTACGTACGTATGTATGTATGTATGTATGTATGTATATATATATATAATATTCACAACATGGTTTAACTTCATGATTTTATATCTTTGCATTGGCTGTGTGCTGGTCGTATCCCATCTTCTGTAGTTTGTAACGACCATAGCCACTTCCTCCATTATTCCGCTGGGGTTGGATGGATTGAAAGTATCAACCTACACCAAAAAAATAGTTTCAAGTTTAGTCACGTTCACCGATCACCCAGTTGTTTTGATTAAACTAATGCATAGACTGAAATTTCAGTTACATTGTCAAAGCACATTCTTATCAAAACACAGGGTATGGTAACTAAAAACTACAGGTATGATAACCAGTTGTGGTTTCGATGATTCAAGTTACAAATTAAGCTCAGCGAAGTTGTCACAGGATGATGATCCTCCAGGTACCCCCAGCCAGGTCCCAGCTGAGGTGTGTGACACGATGACGTCTTTGGCGGATTGGCTGCGAAGCGATGACGCTGAACATCTCAGCAAGGCGCGTCAACAATATTTGTAATCCCTATATTGGCTATTGTAATTCCCTATATATTGAGGTATGACCACCGCCCAATCCGGAAATTATAAATATCATACATGTATATATATATATGTATATATATATTAATGTTATGTAATTATACATGATGCAACTGTTGACAGTAGCACGTATGGGTTGGTTGAAATCCCTCTTACCCTATTTCCGTACAGTGGATGGTTGCGAAATCCTGCACCAGTAGACGGGCAAAAATTATATACCCACACAAATTACAGTGTTGAATTACTTTACCCATAGTTACCAATTGGTGCAGGTTTTTTTCCAACCACAGTATGTCATGTGATTCTGGTATTTTTGTGTACATTGTTTCTCAGACTTAGGACGTCTTAGACACCTCTTCAGAGAAATTTGAGATTATATGTATATATGATTATATATGTAAATATTTTTCCCGAATGCGTAGCGAAGGGTTCCCGTTTATAGTTGAGGGTCTGGGGGTTGGACCTTTGTTCGCCGCCAGTTGGTCGGCGCGTCGTTTTTCGCGTCGTTTTCGCGTCGTTTTTCGCGTCGTTTTCGCGTCGTTTTCGCGTCGTTTTTCGCGTCGTTAATTCGGTGTCTATAGGGGAAGCTGCAAAACCTCGTGTGTTTTGCTACGTAGATGTCGCAGTGTCTATAGGGAGCTGCAAAACCTCCTGTTTTTTTGCTACGTAGATGTCGCAGTGTCTATAGGGGAGCTGCAACATCTCGTGTTTTTTGCTACGTAGATGTCGCAGTGTCTGTAGGGGAAGCTGCAACACCTCGTGTTTTTTGCTACGTAGATGTCGCAGTGTCTGTAGGGGAAGCTGCAAAACCTCGTGTCTTTTGCTGCGTAGATGTCGCCGTGTCTATAGGGGAAGCTGCAAAACCTCGTGTCTTTTGCTACGTGGATGTCGCCGTGTCTATAGGGGCAGCTGCAAAACCTCCTGTCTTTTGCTACGTGGATGTCGCCGTGTCTATAGAGGAAGCTGCAAAACATCGTGTCTTTTGCTACGTGGATGTCGCCGTGTCTATACGGGAAGCTGCAAAACCTCGTGTCTTTTGCTACGTGGATGTCGCGGTGTCTATAGGGGAAGCTGCAAAACCTCGTGTCTTTTGCTACGTGGATGTCGCCGTGTCTAAAGAGGAAGCTCCAAAACATCGTGTCTTTTGCTACGTGGATGTCGCCGTGTCTATAGGGGAAGCTGCAAAACCTCTTGTGCAAGCTTTGTAGTATACGGTAGTACTGGGAAGTGCTTTGTGCAAGCTTTGTAGTATACAGTAGTACTGGAACGTGTTTGTGCAAGCTTTGTAGTACACAGTAGTACTGGGAAGTGCTTTGTGCAAGCTTTGTAGTATACAGTAGTACTGGAACGTGTTTGTGCAAGCTTTGTAGTACACAGTAGTACTGGGAACGGCTTTGTGCAAGCTTTGTAGTTTACAGTAGTACTGGAACATGTTTGTGCAAGCTTTGTAGTACACAGCAGTACTGGGAAGTGCTTCGTGCAAGCTTTGCAGTACACAGTAGTACTGGAACGTGTTTGTGCAAGCTTTGTAGTACACCGTAGTACTGGGAAGTGCTTTGTGCAAGCTTTGTGGTACACAGTAGTACTGGGAAGTACTTTGTGCAAGATTTGTAGTACACAGTAGTACTGGAACGTGTTTGTGCAAGCTTTGTAGTACACCGTAGTACTGGGAAGTGTTTGTGCAAGCTTTGTGGTACACAGTAGTGCTCGGAAGTGCTTTGTGCAAGCTTTGTAGTATACAGTAGTACTGGAACATGTTTGTGCAAGCTTTGTAGTACACAGTAGTACTGGGAAGTGCTTTGTGCAAGCTTTGTAGTACACAGTAGTATTGGAACGTGTTTGTGCAAGCTTTGTAGTACACAGTAGTACTGGGAAGTGTTTGTGCAAGCTTTGTAGTACACCGTAGTACTGGGAAGTGCTTTGTGCAAGCTTTGTAGTACACAGTACTGCTGGAACATGTTTGTGCAAGCTTTGTAGTACACCGTAGTACTCGGAAGTGTTTGTGCAAGCTTTGTAGTACACAGTAGTGCTCGGAAGTGCTTTGTGCAAGCTTTGCAGTATACAGTAGTACTGGAACATGTTTGTGCAAGCTTTGTAGTACACAGTAGTACTGGGAAGTGCTTTGTGCAAGCTTTGTAGGACACAGTAGTATTGGAACGTGTTTGTGCAAGCTTTGTAGTATACAGTAGTACTGGGAGCGCCTTTGTGCAAGCTTTGTAGTACACAGTAGTACTGGAACGTGTTTGTGCAAGCTTTGTAGTACACAGTAGTACTGGGAAGTGCTTTGTGCAAGCTTTGTAGTACACAGTAGTACTAGAACGTGTTTGTGCAAGCTTTGTAGTACGTGCTAGTACTGGAACGTGCTTGTGCAAGCTTTGTAGTATACAGTAGTACTGGAACGTGTTTGTGCAAGCTTTGTGGTACACAGTAGTACTGGGAAGTGCTTTGTGCAAGCTTTGTAGTATACAGTAGTACTGGAACGTGTTTGTGCAAGCTTTGTAGTATACAGTAGTACTGGAACGTGTTTGTGCAAGCTTTGTAGTACACAGTAGTACTGGGAAGTGCTTTGTGCAAGCTTTGTAGTACACCGTAGTACTGGGAAGTGCTTTGTGCAAGCTTTGTAGTACACAGTAGTACTGGAACGTGTTTGTGCAAGCTTTGTAGTACACAGTAGTACTGGGAATGACTTTGTTGGGAGTGTTTTGTGCAAGCTTTGTAGTACACAGTAGTGCTGGGAAGTGCTTTGTGCAAGCTTTGTAGAACAAAGCAGTGCTGGGAATGTTTTGTGCAAGCTTTGTGGTACACAGTAGTAAAGGGAAGTGCTTTGTGCAAGCTTTGTAGTACACAGTAGTAGTGGGAATACTTCGAAGTAATTTGTGCAAACTTTGTGTAAAGTAAGGAGTGTGGAGTGTAAAGTGTGGAGTGGGGAGTGTAGAGTGCGTAACCTGTGGAGTGTGGAGTGTAGAGTGTAAAGTATAGAGTGTAAAGTGTAGAGTGTGGAGTGTAAAGTGTAGAGTGTGGAGAGTGAAGTGGAAAGTGTAGAGTGTGGAGGAGTGCGGAGTGCGGAATTGAAAGTAAGGAGTGTGGAGTGAAAAGTGTGGCGTGTGGAGTGTAAAGTGTGGAGTGTGGAGTGTGTGTGTCGAGTGTAGAGTGTGGTGGAGTCTGTGGTGTCTGGAGTGTGGAGTGTGGAGTGCAGTGTGTGGAGTGAGGAGTGGGGAGTTTGGAGTGTAAAGTGTTGAGTGTGGAGTCAGGAGTGTAAAGTGTAAAGTGTGGAGTGTAAAGTGTAGAGTGTGGAGTGTGGAGTGGCAAGCGTCGAGTGTGGAGTGTGGAGTGTAGAGTGTAAAGTGGAGAGTGTGGAGTGTAAAGTGTGGAGTGTGGAGTGTAAAGTGTAAAGTGTGGAGTGTAGAGTGTAAAGTGTAGAGTGTAAAGTGTGCGCTTGGAGTGTTAAGTGTAAAGTGTGGAGTGTAGTGTGTAAAGAATAGAGTGTAGAGTGTAGAGTGTGGAGTGTAAAGTGTGGAGTGTAAAGTGTGGAGTGAGGAGTGTAAAGTGCAAAGTGTAAAGTGTGGAGATTAAAGTGTAGAGTGTGGAGTGAGGAGTGTAAAGTGTAAAGTGTGGAGTGTAAAGTGTAGAGTGTGGAGGGTGGAGTGTAGAATGTGGAGTGTGCAGTGGGTAAAGTGTGGAGTGTGGCAGGTGGTGGTGATCTCGTTATTCTGGAGATGTTGTTGTGCTGGCGATGTTGTTGTGCTGGTGATTTCGTTGCGCTGGTGATTTCGTTGTACTAGTGATTTCGTTTTTGCTGGTGATTTTGTTGCGCCGGTCGACTTTGTGCAAGCTTTGTGGTACACAGTAGTACTGGGAAGTAGTTTGTGCAAACTTTGTGTAAAGTGTGGAGTGTGAAGTGAGGAGTAGGGAGTGTAGAGTGTGTACAGTGTAGAGTGTGGAGTGTAGAGTGTAAAGTTTCGAGTGTAAAGTGTGGAGTGTGGAGTGTAAAGTGCAGAGTGTGGGGTGTGAAGTGTAAAGTGTAGAGTGTAGAGTGTGGAGTGCGGAGTGTTAACTAAGGAGTGTGGAGTTTAAAGTGTGGCGTGTGGAGTGTAAAGTGTGGAGTGTGGAGTGTGGAGTGCGGTGTGTGTAGAGTGTGGTGTGTGTAAAGTGTAGAGTGTGGTGGAGTGTGGAGTGTGGAGTGTAAAGTGTGGAGTGTGGAGTGTGGAGTGTGGAGTGTGGAGTGTCGTGTGGGGAGTGTGGAGTGAGGAGTGAGGAGTGTGGAGTGTAAAGTGTGGAGTGCGCAGTGCGCAGTGTCTAAAGTGTGGATTGTGGAGTGTGGAGTGTAAAGTGTCGAGTGTGAAGTGTAAAGCGGTAGTGTAAAGTGTGGAGTGACGAGTGTAAAGTGGAAAGTGCAAAGTGTAAAGTGTTGAGTGTAAAGTGTGGAGTGTGGAGTGAGGAGTGTAAAGTGTAAAGTGTGGAGTGTAAAGTGTGGAGTGTGGAGTGTGGAGTGAGGAGTGTGGTGTGTGGAGTGTGGAGTGTAGAGTGCAAAGTGTGGCGTGTAAAGTGTGGAGTGTGGAGTGTAAAGTGTGGAGCGTGGAGTGTGGAGTGAGGAGTGTGGTGTGTGTAGAGTGTAGAGTGTGGTGGAGCGTGGAGTGTTGTGGAGTGTGGAGTCTTGTGGAGTGTGGAGTTTGGAGTGTGGAGTGTAGTGCGTGGAGTGAGGAGTGTGGAGTGTAAAGTGTGGAGTGTGCAGTGGGTCAAGTGTGGCGTGTGCAGTGTGCAGTGTGCAGTGCAGTGTGTGGAGTGTAGAGTGTAAAGTGTAGAGTGTAAAGTGTAGAGTGTGGAGTGTGGAGTGTAAAGTGTGGACTGAGGAATGTCAAGTGCAAAGTGTAAAGTGTAAAGTGTGGAGTGAGTGTGGACTAAGGAGTGTAAAGTGTGGAGTGTAAAGTGTAGAGTGTGGCGTGTGGAGTGGAAAGTGTCGAGTGTGGCGTGTGGAGTATAGAGTGTAGAGTGTGGAGTGTGGAGTGTAAAGTGTAGAGTGAGGAGTGTGGAGTGTGCAGTGGGTAAAGTGTGGACTGTGGCAGGTGATGGTGATCTCGTTGTGCTGGTGATGTTGTTGTGCGTGTGATGTTGTTGTGCTGGTTATGTTGTGCTGGTGATTTCGTTGTGCTAGTGATTTCGTTTGTTTTGGTGATTTTGTTGCGCTGGTGCTGTTCGCTGGTGATTTCATTCTGCTGGTGCGTTCGTTGTGCTGGTGATTTCGTTGCGCTGGTGATGCTGTTGTGCTTGTGACTTTGTTGCGCTGGTGATTTCGTTGTGCGGGTGATTTCGTTGTGGTTTCATTGCGCTGGTGATGTTGTTGTGCTGGTTGTGATTTCGTTGTGCTGGTGGTGATGTTGTTGTGCTGGTTAGTTGTCTCTTTGTGAACTGTTGCTCAGGCGCCTTCGCTGAGACGGTATGAGCGCACGATGCATGCAAAAAAAGGTTCGTTTTCCTATTGCAGAGGTTTGCACTCGTAGTCCAAGAACGTGAATACATTCGGGTTCGTGGCTTCCATCTTGTTTATTGTACTGTATATATATATATATGTATCTATGTGGACATGTAACAATGTGTATTCTAAGCAGACCACAGGCGTTTTGTTTTTTCATCAGCATTTCCGATGTGACTAGCAGATCTGTATGTGACAGTTTGCTATGGAAACCATGGCCCATTCTGTTCGATGATAAATCTCTAATAAACCTGGTCATGTTCCGGAACTGCAGCAAATTACCAGAGGGGAATGTGTGTTTTGAATCGTTGTTGTGTGCGGTGTTGCCTCATGTTGCCTCCTAAATTTTGTGATTGTGGCAAGGTTGTTCCATTTTTATCTAATTTTTATAGTTATTTTCAATTTGATAGAAGTTGTGTGCGTATGTCCTCAGTACTTGTTTGTTCTATCGACATTTGTTCCCTACTACCACCACAGACCATCAAAGAACCCACATAAATGGCTGAACTTATTGTACCAGAATGTAAAAACAGGTAAAAACTGTCTGAAATGCCAGCGGCTCGATCGCGGCTCGATCGCGGGTCAATTGTGAGGGTCTAGGTATTGCACAAAGGGGAGAGGTTCGTTCCACGGACCGGGGTTGCTGTTGGGGTTGTTCATGGGGGTAACTATGGTATTTCATTCCCCATGAAGCTGGGAACGGTTAGTTACGGCCTATAATATGGATTTTCTCACAAGTGTCCACAATCAAAGGTGAATTTACCAAATCACACCAACCCAAATCATCATTGCTCCCATCCAAACATATGATAAAGATTGCATTTTGGGAGTCTTTGCACCCATTGACATATGTTGATCTCATTAGAATATGTTCATTTTTGAGGGACTTCGGACCACGACAGCCATCGACCAGGCCTTTCGACCTTGCTTTGGTTTTAGCTGCGACCGTTGCAGCAATGCAGTGCCATGGCATCGGAGTCACAGGGCCCCAGGGCGTGGGGAAGGTCATATTTTCCAAGGATTTGATGACGGCCTAGACCCAGAGATGCCATGGAGTTTGGGTACATATAAATACATGTAAACACCCAAGTTTCCCTATTTACTTTCATGGAATGAGAGTCTCTTCGGATGACCAACTGGACACTGTTTGTCACCATGGATCAGTTCCAGGGTCGACTGCCATGTTCATCAAGCACTGGTGGGATCGTTTAAACAGGTTGTTTATTTCCAACCATATGGGTTTGTTTGGAAGCAGGGTGCTCGGAAAATCCAGTAGTTCATCATCATAATCATAATTCAACATGTTCCCTATGAACATGTACATTTTTGAGGTTCCACTGGCCATTGCTGGCATGTTGTTTTTCAAAACTGCAATAAATGACGACCCCATTTTCAGACAGCCCATTTTCGGACCATAGATGCTCCCGACGTGTCCAGTCTGAGTGCTGAATTCAAAATCAGGGGATACCAAAAAATGCCATTCAAAGTTCAAAAAGGAAGACAATGATGATGCCCTTTGGTAAACCAATATAGCTATGAAAAATGGACCGTCTATAATATAGTTGTTTTACATATAAGGAAATTGTGATTTTCCAGAAAATAGCTATGTTCATGTTCGTTTACCAGAGGGTAAATGATGGGATGTTTTTCTTTTGCCTTCTTTTCAAACAGACCCAGAGAATTGGCACCAGTGCAAATGCAAACATGTTTCTCCACTTGTTGCGCACTAGGCCCTTAGGCGCCCTCAGAATTTTCACCAGGGTCAGACGGTCAGCCTGCAGGGTTGCATGTTGCAATGTTCGATGAAACCTAATACAACATCCTAATACATTCAAAACAGGACCCTAAAACTGACTGTTCGATGCTGCTCTTGAAAGAATTGTTCTCTGAAAGCGGGCAGACGTGAACTTGGATAACTTGGTCTGGGCCTAGAGGGTAATTTGACATCACTCATCAGAAAATGGGCCATGGCGGCCATGTTCCTTGTCTATGTGAGTTTGCTGGAGGGTAATCGTCTTAAGCTGGAGCGCTAGTCAGCTAGTCCAAAGAAATGATCTCAATGGGTCCAGTATAACTGGATCTCCAGCCACTGATTTTGTTGGATGGATATAGTGACTAAATGGCACAGGAAGCGTTTGAGATGCCATATCTGTACTTCCACATTTGAGATCCACGTTGTAGGCATTATTCCAGGGTATACACCCTGGATGGTATCATATTGAAGGTATACAGTAATCAACGATATTGGTGTGTGTGTGTGTGTGTCTGTGTGTGTGAAAATGCTATTCCCGAATTTTGGCCGTTTGAAAATGGCACAACTATGTAAAACTGCTCATGTTTCGATTCTCAATGAGTGTTCCACATGATTTTCAGGCAACCCCCTTGAAAACATCTGAAAACCACCGTCACTTGCTTCCTTGATTTCCTGGTCTCCAAATGCACCAACATCCCGCGCCAAGGTGCAGCCGGGTGAAGAGACATGTCCGGTCTGCAGCTTGGAAATGGAGTGAGCGATCTCCTCCATTGGCAGCTGGTGGCAGCTGCAATACAACAAGCTGCGAACTGTGATCGAACATTCGGCCATGAATGGCCCAGGAGTTCCAAAGGTGACTGATTAAGAACAGCTTCCTTATTTAATTTTACCTCTCTTAAAAAAAAAACATCGCTTCATGGTTCCTGGCTTTGCTGAATCCATGATGGGGACATCCACTACTTGGGAAATCGACTGAAGCGGCCTGAGGCCATTTTTTCTTGGTCGCCTTTGTCGATCCCTTCGCCGTATCTATTCCAGTTGTAGTTGGTGTTGTTACATGTTGTTGCCTGGTGTTACTGTATTACGGTATGTTGTATGATATGTGTGTGTGACTTGTGTGTTAAGTTTTTGAAGCTATATTTACCTGGGACCCCCTTTCCATGTGCGTTTTTTTGATAAAAGACGATGCGAAGAAACACATGGAAATTTGATCAAAACCACAATACAAAACCTGTGTCACTTGTACCTACAACACATGTCTTTGAGGGGCTCCAGGTATCAGTATTATCTGTGAGAAGTGGAGGTTCCATTGGAGGCTAGCCCATCAAAAGACAGTGTTTTTTTTGTTGTTAATGTATGTTTTTCTTTTTCTGTGCATGTGTTTTTGTTTTGAATGTTCACCCCCAAGGCCTTGTTTTGTTGTGTTCCCTATGTCAGTGCATGTTCAAAAGGAAATGCCTTTTGAAACCAATTGCCGCGTTCCAGTTGTCAAAGATGGTTTGATTATTCTATTCATTATTTTCTTATAGTTTCTTCATATGAGTCTTTGTTTGTCCGTTGTTTTCCTGCTTGTTGATTTTATGTTTATTTGTGTGTGTGTTTTGTTTTATTGTATTTTGTTAATGTGAATTATGCATTTAATGTGTGTCCTTATTGTTTCATACTTGTATTTGTTTACATTGTATTATTTGATATCCCGATCTGTTCCTCTCAAGATATCCTTGCGTTTGCTGCCCATGATGGACATAGTGCAGATGCAGCTTTGGCTGTTGAATGCCAGACTCTCAGAGCTTGTAATAGCACCCTAAGAGCCTAAGAAATCAATAAATATATAGAATATTATAGAATAAATAGACAGATAGGTAGGTAGATCAATGATGATAAGCATATAGCTGTGTATATATACATATATGTCAAAAGTGCAATATATTTATAGATGAATAGATTGGATAAGCTTAGATTAGGTGAGATGATATCAGAACAGATAGGTAAATAGATAGATAATATTATATAAATAAATATAACAGCATAAAACATTGGATTAGATTTGACCAGTTTGGAATAGATGGATCGACAGACAGATAGATACTTATAACAAGCACTTCTTTTACATACACATATGGTTTGTTTTACCTGAACACATAAATGTAGTATGTATAGGTTTAACATATTATATTATACATATACACATGTACTATAACAACGCTAGCTCTAGCTGTATCATGCTCTATCTGTATATCTAAATCTACTACTTTAATCCAATTGTTCATTCCTTTGACTCCTGGGTCACAAGTCGCCGCAGCCAAGAAATTCTGCAGCCTGGCGCGTTTCCCCTAGCGTCTGCAGTCTGCAGCCCTCTTTTGCCGTCTCCAGGGATTCCCCCAGATGGGCCAACGGGCCAAGCAGCGAAATTGGTTCTGGTGTTGGAATTGGCTGAGTTGGCTATAATTGGCTTTCAATCCACAAAAATGAGATGGAACAATGAGATGGTGTTGGAAATGAGATGGAATTGGAATCCTCATTTTTGTGGATTGAAAAGCTGGCTATAAGTGCAGAAACCAAGGCTTGTTTCATAGGAATGACTTTCTCCAGCTAGCGTTCACACTCGTGAGAATGCGACAGGTTTGGTAATGGATGATTTTAGATTCTCCCTGTAGTCGTTTGTAATCCCAAAGAGGTTGAATTCCCATCATTGAAGTTGCTGGTGATATTTCAATCCTTTTGGCTTGTAATTTCTCCGGTTGATACACCCAAACCTCACTGACTGTGTGGTTCTCCCAAAAAGATCTTGGTGATGTCCCTTGCAAAAATCTGGTTGTGTTTGAAATCGGGGGACAACCCTATTCCATCCACTATAGCTGGTCATTATTTGCCCAACATTTCCCAACCATATATTTTTTTTAAGATCCAGGTCCAAAAGCGGGGTATCCTTGTGGGATCGCAGTTGTCCTGGTCCAAAGTCGGCAGAGCAAAGAGCTCCGCCAGACCTGGGCCCGACAGATTCGAGCAGATTCGAGGCCCTCGTTGCGCCGACGCCGATGATCCGTTGCGCAACGGGGACGAGATGGACGAGATCCGCCGGCGCGCGCCATGGCTCGCCGGCGCGCCTGTTGAAGTGAGAGGAAGATGTTGATCTTGGGAAGTCATCAATTTGTCGGCTTCATTTATGATTGTAATGTGGTTGGAAGACAGCCTGAAGTGGTCACTTGAGGGCGGATCCCAAGTTTTGGGTAATCCATCAAGATGAGGCCGGCGTAATGTTACCTTTGGGGTCTTTGTTTTAAAATGATCTTCACATACTGCATGGACATGGGTTGAGTGTTTTCAAAAGGCTTGGTAGTCCGGGACCATTTCTGAAACCTTAAAATTGGTCATAATTGTTCAAAATTGTTTCAACAATTGTTTTAAATTGTTCAAAATTGTTTCAACAATTGTTGAAAATTGTTCAAAATTGTTTCAACAATTGTTTAAAATTGCTGAAAATTATTTCAACAAGTGTTCAAAATTGTTTAGAATTGTTTCAAACATGGTTCAAAATTGTTGAAAATTGTTTCAACCATTGTTCAAAATTGTTGAAAATTGTTTCAACCATGGTTCAAAATTGTTTGAAATTGTTTCAACAATGGTTCAAAATCGTTGAAAATTGTTTCAACAAGTGTTTAAATTGTTTTTTTCGCAACAATTCCCTGACAATCTCTGCCTCACAATAGTCCAAAAATAGAAATGTACCTAAAATACCACTACATTTCTAATGTTGCAGGATTTTGGATACATTGTCGGACTGGGTCAGCATTTGTCGGAGGATGATGCGTGATCCAGCTGTTTGTGTTCAATGGACACCATATGGCATATGGGTGATCATGTTCTTCACAATGGCTATACTAGTTCTTAAGGATTGCCTTCCTGAAATAACTGGTCCCAAATATGTATACTAACAATTTTCAAGCTTCCATCATGTTCGATACTAATAATGATATCATGCAAGGTGTCCTAGCTTAAGGAATGAAAAGGGCAATAGCGCGCCATCGTGAAGAGCAGCGGCGTGCTCACTTTCATGGTAGCGGTGGCTCTGATTTTGGGGCAGCTGGGTCTGGCGGTGCCACATCGACCAAAACATCTTCATTGGTTAATCATTGGGGAGGTGCGCCCCCACCCTTGCTTTGCACATATGTTATGTTCACAAACTTGAGCACCCGTTTCAGTGCACTATTGACACAGATTGCTGTAGACTAATGATTGTATTGGTGAAACTGTTTTTCCAACTTGATCAGATTGCGCGATCCCACCGCAGTCATTTTGCTGAAACATAAAGGACGTGAACCCCTAGCTATGCCCGTGGCCCCTGAAGCTGACAAAGCTCGGAAGATTCAAAGGGTTATCCTCGAGGACGAGCATTACCAAAAACGTGTTGATTTGTTGTTTCTAAAGTCAGACCAAACAAACTTACATTTGTTGCCCGAATTGCCCCATTCAGGATATCCTGAACACTTATGTCCTGCCGCATCTTGACTCCATCCGGAAGTGCCAGCAGAAGGTTCTTTTCCCGAAACCCGACGCGGGTCCAGCATCCCTGGAGATTGTCCCTTGTCATGATTGAACTTGGCTCCACTCTAAAGATTCTAAAGTATATGTAATTAATTTGGAAAACCGTGTGTCCGCAACATTCAGGTTGCGAGTCAACTGCTATGTTATGTGACTCGATGTGCTGGATGCTAGGGTATTTCATTCCTATATATATGAACTCACAGTCTCTCTCTCTCTCTCTTATATATATACGATATTGGCTAGCCTCAGGTTGAGGACCACTATGAGCTGTGCATGGAGTACTTGGCCTCACTGGAGTGCGCAGTTCCCGTGATGAAGCTCCACCAGGACAAGGGCCAACCCCTCCCAATACCACCAAGCCGGGCCGAGAAACAAATATTAAAACCTCAAATCCTGCAACTTAATATTAGAGCTGTAGTTTAGGTGCATGTCTATTTTGGGACTCTTGTGAGGCAGAGATTGTCAGGGATGTATACACCGAACCAGCTGGTTTTTCATATGCAAAATTGTATATGCAGCCATTAATCATGCATGGGGCACATTATGGTTTCGAATAATCATATGGTTTTGATTTGTATATACTAGTGTGCATCGATTTCCATTTAATATTTTGCAATTGGTTCCTAGCTGTGCTCTGCACAGTCGTGGAAGAAGCCCGATCGCACTCAGTCCATCTTCTTCGGCCTGTGCAGGAGGTGTTGGTCGTGCTTGCAAAACGATACGCTATCCTGGGGAACAATGCAAAGGGTCGTGATATCAAGGACCAGGGTACTCTTACGTGGTTTAGCTAAATTAATTAATTGACATCGTTTAAAAAAACACATGACACAGAAGAGTTGTGGGGATAGGGTTTCTTTTTGATAAGCGAACCAACCCAGATTTAAATGCACTCCCTTTGGTGAGGATTGGGCTAGCCGTGAAGCTGGAGTGCTTCGTTGCATGATGATGCATGCGCTGACATTGTGCCGTCGTGCTGCTACATCCCGGTCCAGGAAGGTGACATTCCTGAAACAACTCGTGTCCGAATTGCTTGCAGGACAGGGTCCTTCATGTCATGTGTGATGTTTGATTTTATGATGTTTCATGAATGCCTACTTCTTAAGGGTCAACCACTACTGTACCTGTAACTAAGTGAAGATGGCTAGTAGCTCTCAGACTGGGAGGCCGCCCTTCTAAGAGAAGGTTTGATAAGTGCAACCATCATCAATGCTGTTTTTGTTTTTAAACTGAATTGTATGTAGATAGTGGATGCATGTGGTTACCAGGACGTGGCGACGACCCAGAGGCATCCATCTTGGCGGCTTTAGATTCTGCTGCTTCTGCGGAGGAGCTTGGTGGGAAACAAGCCCACATGCGGGCCCACTGAAAAATCTATAGAATTTAGTTTGAATTTCAGGATACATTGTATATATATATATAAAAACAAGATCAATACCCATCAACTAGTAACAGACAAGGTGGGATTACCAGAGGTATGGAATCCCAAAAGTATCTCATGAGCAATCCCAAGTCCAATTGCTAGCCCTGATGAGGACCACAGTGCTGTCTCCACCCCATCATCAGCTGCTTCGCCGGCTGCCCCAGCTAATGTGACAGGCCGACGGCGGCTTCGCGCTTGCCGCAAGGTCCCATGACTTAACACAAAAAATGTAGGTGTATGCTTCGGGTGTATCGAATATTCAAACAAGGTTGATACCACAGGGTATTGATAAAGGACTACGTTGCCAAAATTTAAAGGTTTATTCTTTTATTAACTATTAAAATTGGCCAAGGTTGTTTATTTCTACATCCTGTGGTTTCACGTTTTGATTTCATGATCATGTATGAGCTCATGTACATGTCGCTTTTTCGTCGTATACTATTGTTGAACATGTACATATACAAATTCAATATGCGCTTTTGAAATGCTCTGAACATTATTTAAAAAAGATCACATGTACATAATTGCGTGATGCATGTTGCATTCTGATTTTTTGGGGGAACATTTTTTTTTTAGTTTACCCTGAACAAACCCAAAGCTTCACCATCATGTTCACTTCACAATTTCAATTTAGTTTTCTGTTCGAGCTCATTCTCATCGGGACACCCACTCCTCAACCAATATTTTTTCTTGAATCACAGCCAGCCAGCTAAGCTACGCCGATCCCGTTTGAGGTGAGCCCGGATGAGCTTGAAACCTTGGAGATGCAGATGAATGAGATCGTGCTCGGCGACCATCCACCTGCAGAAGCTGAAGTGGTGCACGATGATGGTGCCCGACGTCAGGCAGAGAAGGACTAGTGGGTAAAACAATGCGGTGATAGCTACATAGTGGGTAGAAAAAACCTTGCATTCACACCTTATCGAGTTATCAATATATTGTATTTATTTATGGTGTACGATTCATGGGGTAGATTTTCAACATATGTTTTCCATATACACTGACATATTGGGATAATATCACTCAATATGACTATTGTAGATGGTTAATTATCAAAAGATCGTTTATTATCATAATATGTTATTATGTATCCTGCGAGATAATGTATATCTAAGTAGGCTAAGTAGGCTAATTCATTAAGTTTGACCTGTCACCACATATCCTATAGTGTATTGTTGTGAAACCCGTCTTCGTGGCTCAAAAAACACACTTGTGGTAGAATATTGAATGGCAAACTATTTCAACGCATTGATTTTCAGTTATACATATCGTGGTGAAACCTGCAGGACCGGATGCCCCTGGAAGCGGCTATGCCCGAGTTATCCCAAGACATGGAGACATTGGCTGATCAAGCATATGCTGCTGTCGTTCCAGAAACCTTTGAGGGAGATCCATATGCAGCTCAGTTTTTTGGCCATTGTTATGAACCAAGTCTAGCTTACGTATATGTGGAAACTCTTTCATGATTTCAAGTGATAGACCTATCATATCATATATCTTTCTGGTCTATGCAGTCACCAAGTATGATATCGAAATTGATTTCAATAAAAATAAACCCCTGAGACCTGCAAAACTCATCCGAGGTTAGCCAAGTCAAGGGCTGCAAAGATCGAAAGTGCTCAGTCTCTTGTGGAGCGTGCCGCTTCTGATCCCAAGGTCAAGAAGCAATTGAAACCGAAGAAGCCAGCGGCTAAAGGGGCCGGCCGTGGCCGTGGGAAAGGGAAGGCCAAGCCACCAGTCCCAGTTGAGGGTGGGGAAGATGGAGAGAAAGATGGGGAGGAAGATGGAGAGAAACATAGTGAGAAAAAACATGATGCGAAAGAGGGTCATGCTGAAACCGGTGGGGATGCCAGCACCTCCGACCCAAAGAAATCCGTTGACATCGCAGCATTGTGGGCTGCAAAGGACCTGCTATTATCAAAAAGGTTTGCCAATATAGATTCTGAAGTACTTACTGGTCAATGGCTTGAACATAAATATATATATAGTATATAATGTATGTAAAACATTATTACTAGTCAGGTAGCTGGTGATGATATTAACGATGGACATCGATAGTTGATGATACTAGCAATATCATTCCATTCGATCCTTTGTCCAGAAACAAGTTCAGTATGATTATCATCAGCGAGCTACGAATGAACTTTACATCACATAACAAATATTTACCATCCTGTGATTTCCCACTGTGATTAGTAAGGCTGATTCGAAATGCCGGTAGGAAGATGAACTTCGCAAAGCTGGGGTGCCTATTCCTGATGGTGCCGGCCAGAAGAAAAGCTACAGCATCAAGCCCCCACCCAATGCCCGTATGGATGATGTGGCTAGCCTCGGAATCTTGTGCCTCCACTGCACTATGCATCAACATACGAAGTGTTAAACAAACATGAAATCCACCTAGGAGTATTAAGCGATGCCAAACATGAGGGATAGAGACAAGTACCGCTACTTGATCACTACATATCACTACCACCTTAAGTATGCATCTGGTTTCCGGAAACAAAATCATGTTGGTATATGATATCTATATACGTAAGTATACGTTCTGGCAAATAATGCCTTCTAACCTCTGACCCTCTCTAATCCGCTACATCAGCCTCATCGCATCGCTTAGGTGGAGCATTGACCAGATCTACGTCACGAAGGTCTTGGATGCCAGCAGCGCCCCCACAGGCCTGGCAGCCAACAAGAAAGGTGGGTGCACCATCAGTGTCCGCAAACGTGGTGGATGGGTTGACAGCTATCAGATCGGCCAGAAGATGGCTGGCTGGATCTAGGAGGGTTCATTTTAGCATTTCAATTTTGATTTGAGAGCTGCAGCATGACATGCGAGATGATACCCGTTGGATTATTAGTTTAGCTCACCTGGGTGTTTTTACAATCCGTTTAACATATAGGATGATTAGCATGAATAATATATATATATATATATTGTACTGTGTTTTGTATTAACCATTTTGTGCAGCTTGATTCTCTAGCCTCGGTTCTGAGTTCTTCAGCCCAGAACGCCAGATTGCCAATTGAGTGGGTGAAAACTGCACCGCTGTTATTTTACATTTAGCATCTGTGCAGCTACCTCTTGTGCAACAGAATGCAAGACTACCTCACCATATCTCAGTACTTAAGCTTGTTTTGCCCAAATCCGGCCCAAAAGATCGATTTTAGTGAGGAAATTCAGGGTGGTACAGCCATGGCGTTTGGCCTATCGAGACGGAAAGCAGTCTTGCTACTGTTCTATGGGGCCCCAGTCGTACTGCCTCCAAGCTGAATGGCGTATTGAATAAAATTTCCTTTGAAAGGGGTCCTCAAGGTGAAAGGGGCCCTGGCCTAGAAGCCTCCAAGATTAATTTCGACCGAGTTTTTGCCTTTGTATTAAAAACTCGGTCGAAATTAATCTTGGGGGCTTCGCGCGCATAAGGAACATTCTTGGCCAGGACCTCTTTCACCTTGGGGGCCCCTTTCAAAGGAAATCTTGTTATTGTCAGAATTTAATTTGCATCCGAAGAAATTATGAATGATTCCCAAAAATGTTCACGACAATGTGCCCAACCCAGGCTCCACTGCTTGGACTATGTGTCTCAGCAAATGACCATGGCAGACCCAGCATGGTCTCGGGACAGGGGTGCTTGCATGGTTGGCCCGATTGAAAACTCTAGATGTTAAAAAATATCATGATAAATTTACAAAACCATTCGATACTTAATGCTAGGAACATTACGTATGAATACATATTATATATATGTGTGTGTTTGTTTCTAAATATTGCACACCAACCCCTGAGAAGGACCTCGATGTCTTCGAGATGTTTTCGGGTTGCGGTGAACTCTCAAAGCAATGCCGTGCCAGTCTTAGTTGACACCTAAATCTGCTTAGTGTTTTTGTTTGACAAAATGATGCTGATTGCAGCCATTACAGTGACAACATCTGTAACCTATTCGGATTTCATTACATTACATTGTATATATACGTATATGTGGTGAATGCTAATCATGTTGGCATACGTATGCACCCCTAAAACTCTGCAATCACCTAAGTAGATATCGGATGGTTTGAACCAAATTTGGTCCATGGCATCTCCCATTCTCCCGGCCCAGGTGCTTCTGGCCTCCACGTTCGAAGGTACGACTTGGAACGTGGGCCGATGTTTGACTTCACAACCCCACAAGGGTTTTTCCTGGCTCTCAAAAACACATTGAGAGTCAGGCACAATGGGCTACTGTGGTGTGGAGTGCCCTGTTCAAGGAGACTTGGTTCAATATTTTTTTCAAGCTTATATTTTTTGGGGATCGAAAGTTGAACAGTCTAGCTAGGTAATGGAAAAAAAACATATCCTGTGGGTTTGCGAAACTTTCCGGTTATTCACAGTGGTCATAGTGGAAGGTTTATATCTACATTTCATATGTACATATATACACATTTTAATTTTTGTTCATCTGCATCAATCTGTGAAGATACCATTTACAGATTGATTCTCAATGTATATATATATATACATATATATATATGTATATAAAAGGTGCATTGGTCTTGATGCCAAGATATAATATATATATATATATCATATACACATAGCAGATATACCATGTATATTATATATATATATACTTTACATATATTTTTCTGTGGTATTGGTTGTTGCCAACCACATGACCTTGCTGAACCTGTATCTTTCCTACGACTATTTCAGATAACTTTTGGTGACCAGGAATCCCACACAATACCTTGGACTGGCAATTTGCCACTTTGCTTGGCCCCGGAAAACGGACCCCACCAAGTAAGTCCCCCGAAAAATAGCTTTTTCCTGAGTTTTCTAAAGGAAATTTGATACTTGGTGGGGTCCGTTTTCCGGGGCGAACCCAAGTGGAAAATTGGCATCTTGGACATCAATATTTCAAGTTGGGTTGCATATATATATATGTATATATACATATATATATATATATGTATCAAGATTCGAACATTACCCCGTCTTATGATTCAAATTCGGCAACCAAGTTGGGTGTGGATTTCAATGGCGACGACGAAACGTACGATGCCAGGGCACGGGATAATGGGAGACCCGGGACTGGAATGCGTCGAGTGTGCAAACACAATTGCTGCACGCACAGCTTTGCTGGTGATGGTTGCATTGATTCGTGGCATATGGTGGGCCGACCTTTGGCTTAATATACGATATGCAGTTTGTTTATATAGAGTGTTTTTGAAAACCCAAAATATACATATAAGTACGTTGGGGATTGGTTTTTGACAAGTATAATCAAACCATAAATATATATACATATATATCTTTAGTTTTTTGTGGTAACCATCACGTATGTATATCCGCTGGTTTGGAATGTACCATCATAAGAAACATTACAAACCATATAGACTTGCATCCCCTAGTACATGGCCAAGGCAGAACAACCCGGGTCAAGTGTGTTGAAAGACACACCTTACCTTTCGCACGTATTGACATCGATGGGGCCATCATTTCTACGTCGCATGTGGATGGGGAACTTCGATCATTTTGCACCGAAGCCTTCAATGCTTTTCGGAAGCTGGTCTGCCCCTAAGGTGGTTTTGCAGAATGTCATTCAGTGTGATGAAAGCACCTTCGTGTGCTAGTTTCACGTGATATCAGGAGTATATCATATTATTATATAATTATATTATATATAGTAACGAATCAACATGTCGAGGCACTATGGATCATCATGTTTTTTGGGGCTTAACTCACCTCACTGCGAACTGGCTTGTTGGCTGAACCTCAGGATCATTACTGGGCAGTACCATGAACTTGAAATCTATCCCACCAAATACTACTGCTTTACATATACGAATTGCAATTAATGAATTTGGGGCAGCAACTAACTGTTAACCTTTAAGGTTTTGAAATCTTGAGAGTTGATCATATCCGATTAATTACTCAAAATGATTGCCTACTTGTATCCCATATGGTGATTGATGTGTGCTTCAGCACCCAGTTGATATTATTGGAAGGTACTTGAAAATCACTCATCACCATATCTTTTTTTGGCCCAGGCCTTCTATAGAAGACTTTCAATCACATCTTCCTCAACATATCCGACGTATGCTGCAGCAAAACTCGGAAGGCATGTACACAAAGAAAGTCATGCCCGATGGAAGGGTGCAAGTAACCGGCGGGAAGCGGTTGAAGGAGAGTGGCAAATACACTCCTAAGTTTGGCAAGCATGTTGCCAACCTTCTCTTAAAGCGGAAGCCTAGTGCAGCTTGTTCTATTTAGTTTGAGGATATGATGTCGACATATTTGGTTTTAAATGGTGCAGGAACACAAGTATGACATTATCTTTTAAGTTCAATCATGCCCAATCTGCAAACCCATATTATGTATGATCTGGTTTAACAAAATTAAGTATTAATATGTTCTATCGGTTTCTGAATATTCCATCCAGAGTGTGGTTCCAACCTGGCCCAAACCGGTCCTTCCTTTTGCAGCTTCGCTCCGCTTCAGGTATCTGCCTCTGCGCTGGCAAATGCTCGTCACAAGGCATTGAAAGGACGAGGGGGCTTTGATCCTTGATACCAAGACAAAAGCTGTTCTGATTTAGTGATGGTCGCTGACACAAGCCCTTTTAGAGAATCCATATTGAAAGGTTATCACAGTTGTATATGTATATAATCTACGTTTTCACCAGGTGTAAATCTATTAACTGCCAGTAAATAAAGCATATAGGGTTCTGTGGCTTCAGTGCTGCCCAAATCAATCGTGGCTGCTGCAGGATTCACCCCCAAGTTAGGTACTTGGCAGAACACAATGTAATTTGAGGATGTTTGAGACGATCGATTAATCTTCATTCCATATACTTTGTTTGTTGCTCACTCATATATATATATTTATATGTGATTCTTGATTGCTGTCGGAACTTTGAAGAGATGAACCACTAACTTGTTTTTTTGGGGGAAACATATCATATTAATGGTTGTGTATCTTGTGGTGAGCCATATTCGAACCTAATCATTTCCAGTATATCTAACAAACAAACATGGTTTTGGTGACCTCAAACAAAATATGGTATATATCGCAAATCTGGATAAATATTTTAAGCATACCCTTAAAAGCTGGTTGATTAATATGAAGATATCGGTGTTGATAATGATACAACTATGTATGGGTTATTAAGCTGAGGGCTTCAAACCTTCAGTGCGTACCGGATCTGATGCTAGTGGTTGGCTAACAGACTATTTGTTTGATGTAATACTTAGCTCGGGAACCTGTTGGGTAAACTTGATAAGGAGTGCCCTTTTGAACCTGTTTGTAAAGCAAACACTGCATTCAACGGGCATTCAGCATTGGTAAACTTTAGAGCTATGAAAGACAGGGATGGATAATTCACATTTGTCCTTTCTACCTGTGTGTAAATCAGAAACTTGGTAAACAGGCCACTCAAGATTGGTGAACTCCAGCCGTATAATGAACAAAACATTCTGTAAATATGCACATATGCAAACACATAGCAATATGCTTGTGAGTAGATCAAAAGGTGTTACATCCGTTCCATACCCATCCTGTTTGGCTCAGGAAATGCCACTTCAGTGGCAACATGCTCGGCTGAACGAGTTGACTGAGTTCCTAAAGGAGGAGCAGAAGCTGGGTAACTTCAAACCCCAGCCAGGTTTGCCCTTTTAAGCAAACCCTACTAGCATGGTAAGGCTCGTTTCTTAACACCGTCAAACCAACGTTTGTATGAGAAACAGATGCCAATGTTGAAAGGTGCTTTAAGACACCTTACGGCACGTTTCGTTTGACCACCCTGTGCCTATTTTGTGAACGACAATTAAGTTTTGGATACATACCCACGGTGAGAAGCTTTCAACTGTGGGAATCCGTAATTCCGTAGATACTTTGAGAGAAAATCTCAAAATCTCACCGTCCAGCATGCTTCAAAGGAATGGAAAATGATGGCATACGGACAAATATTCTGAATATATTTGGCCCCGCAAAAGTGTTGGGATGTCGGATGGCCTTACTTGCCATAATCTTCACAATTGGGGGATCGTGACAGACCGTGACAGACCGTGACAGACCGTGACAGACCGTGACGAATACATAAAACAATACTTAAATATACGACATTGTCGGAAACCACCGTGACAGACCGTGACAGACCGTGACGGGCCGTGACGGGCCGTGATGGGGTGGGTGGGTCCGTGACAGCCCCCAAAAGATAATCCTCAAGATTGTATTTTCTCTTTGTACTAATATTTTTATATAATGCTTCATCGGTTTGCTGGTAGGTTTTGGATCGGTGGGTGCCCCTTTCACCGGTCACCAGTGGGCCTTCTCGCGTAGCAATGGCAACAGCCTCGGAGGATGATGTGTTGGTGAAGGTACTGGGTGCTTCAAAGATGTTTATCACGATATATCAATGCATATATATATATATATTGACAAAATCACCAAATAAGATCTGATATCAATAAAGCGTGTTTTTACCATCATACCCCGAATGTAGGCAAGTATGATGATCTATGTGTCATATTAAGACTATGACTATGTGGGTGTATATTACATATTAGCCTGGTTTATCTACAACATATGTGGCCAAAATGAGGATAAATATAAACCTCATACGGGCAGTCACGGCCATCGTGAATCAAATTAAAAAATGACCGCTGCCTTTCAGGCAGCCCAGCTTGCTTTAGAAGCTGGCCGACGTCGGCGTGCTCTTGCTGAAGCGGCTTTGCTGAAGGATCAAGGGAAACACCCTCGTCCACCTGCAACCACTTCTACTAAAGTGACTCCAGAAGGGAAGATGCTCCGTAGCACTAGCTCTCTGGAGCCCGTGGAGCCACGCTGCTTGAATTTCGATGCTGATGGTGGATCAGGCTAGGAATATCAAAATGAATCCCTTAAGTTTTTCTTTGTCGGTATGGTGCCCCGCATGTGAAGTGTCACTGCACATATATATATGATTATATTATCTAGCAACTTTTTTTGGAATGATTCGACCCTGTGCCAAATGATATACATAGTGATTATGTACATGGCATTTGAACACAATTGGCTTTGCGTCGAATCATCCCTGAATGGTACCTCTTGTGGTAGGAGACGCGTCGGAACCGGGTCTTGTGGCAAATCCAGTTCACAAGGCTGTTGCTGCTGCAGTGGCTTGGATTCTGATTACAACACTACCTATGTTGATGTTAGCATCAATTACATTGTAGTAACTATTAATGTGTTTCATTTTTTGGATAGATTATTTCATGCTTCATCACCAGCAATGATGTCGCTATGTGTACTGATTTGTGATACCGTTTGTGTTTATGCTATTGTTTGTGCACGACCCACATGTCACACATACAGTACAAGTAGATATGCACACAGCTAAGGTGGGGTGTGCTAGTGGTTCTACGATGCCCACCGCAGCAACCATGCAGCAGCAAGCCACTCCTCAGCACGGTCCTGCCCGCCCTTTGCAAGCAGTAGCAACAACAGCTGCAGCACGCCCTTCACCTGCAACCTGTCTTCGCCCAGATGTTGAAAGCATTTACAGCACCAGTGCAGTCGCCGAGCCCGTTCCCCCTTTCCCTGGTCAGCAGCCACCACTCACCCAGGATGTCCCCATGTATGAGAACACAGTGGAGGATGACTTTGTGGAAAGGTTCCTGAAATTGGACAATGTCCAGCTCAATCAACTTCGCCTAGAAGCACATCAGCACCCGTTGTTCAACACATACATGGATGAAATTCGCCTTGATGCTATGGGTTGTGGCAGCCCAGCAGGTTCTGAAGAGGATCATATCTTCTCTGAAGACCCTGAGAAACTGGTAGATGACCTAGCTTGGTTTCATGGATGGTTGGCCCGACGTGACACTGACAAGCAACTGGAAGCATCACAGAATGCATCCATGTTAGAGGCCCCAACCTTGCAGCTCAACTTGGTTACTCCACCAAAGCCCCAGCCGGAGCTGAGTAGTGGGTTGCAAGCACCTCTGCCTCCACAGCCTGAAGCCTCAGCAGCTCAGCCAAAGCCACGTGAACACACACAGCCTGAAGCCCCAACACCTCGGCAGCCTGAAGCTTCAGCAAATCTACCAAAGCCAAGTGAACATGCACAGCCTGGAGCCTCAGCACGTGAGCACTCACAGCCTGAAGCCTCAGCACCTCGGCAGCCTAAAGCCCCAGCCCCCCCAACAAGGGAACATGCACAGCCTGAAGCCTCAGCATGTGAACACACACAGCCTGAAACTCGGCACCCTGAAGCCTCAGCACCTCGGCAGGTTGAAGCCTCAGCACCTCAGCCGAAGCGTGAGCATGCACAGCCTGAAGCCTCAGCCAAACCCATCCCCATGGAAGTTGAAGGTGCGGTGGAGCCTCCACCTTTGCCCAAGCAGCTGCCACCTTCGCCTGCACCCAAGCCCTTTGCAGCAGCTGAACCCAAAGCAAAGCTTGCTCCAGTGGCAGCCAAAGCCACAGCAGGAACTGAAATTGAATTTCAACCTGTGACAGCTCAAGGCATGCAAGCTTTCTGGAATGTGATGAGGCGCAAAAGCACTGATGACTTGAGCATGAGCAGCACCCCTGCAAAAGTTGTGTTGCCTCCATGTCCTGTACCTCAGATCTTGCCTTGCGAAATTGTAGCCGCAATGGGCGAAACAGAGCCCCAACCTCCGGTGAGTTTGCCTCAGCCAGTGACGCCGCCTGTTCCTCCGACTCCCGCACCCACGGTGCTTGAGACACCAGCAACTTCGACCCCGACACCAGCACCAAACACAGCAGTACAGCCAGGCCAGCACTCTGTACCACCAGCCCCTACGGCAGCAGCTCCAAGCATCACCCTTGCACAAGCACCAAGCACAGCAGTGCAGCCAGACCAGCACTCTGAACCACTAGCTGTGGCCGATCGGGCATCTTACATGAGGTTCTACAGAAGTGGTCGCTCTTCTAAGGCACCACCTGAGGTCTCAAAGAATCTAGGCTTCAAATGCATGTTTATGTATATTGTATATTTGTGTTGTAATATGCACATTAGGCATTTGCGTGCTTTGTTTGGTGAAGTTTTGCTAGTGGTTCAGCCATGCATGGTAGTTTTATATGATAGGGTTATGTTAGCAAATATGTCACTGGGTGTGCTTGTGAGAAAAAATCATAGGTATTTTTCTCACATGTAGAGTGTGCGGACTACAACTATTTAGATACACAAACACATACACACACACATGCGCATACTCACATGTACAGATGCTTTGACATGATCCACTACAATACAAGTTAAACATCTACAAGATTGTCTACATGTGTATATATATATATATATAATACTGCATGTATGTGTTTCTAAATCTATATGTATATAATATTATTTATGTCCATTACCAATACTAAATAAGAAATATGGATCTATATTAATTAACCATGAATGTTTGTGGTTTTCATCGCCCAGGAAATTTGAAGAGGCTGCAAAGGACAAGAGCGGCCGGCTGATGAAGCAATTGTATCTTGAGTACTTGCAGAGTGGGGAAGATTGGCTTTCGTCTTCAATCGTAGTTTCCCAAAGGCAATCCAACACCAGCACTACTGGGGGACGCACGGGTTGGTTGACCAGGAATGAGCCTTGCCCGAATTTTAGACCCTGATGTATGTTGATTAATGGTGGATAGTACTAAGAGGTAAGCCAACCCAAAACTGTACCTACCCAATTAAAACCAACTCTGGGGTAATCCGTAAGGTTGATGTTGGTGGCTGAGATGCTAAACATATATAGTGTACATACATGTAATATATATAGGTATATTTATGTATGTATATATATATATGATATCTGTATTAAAATGTCACCAAACACCGAACACCGTAATGATTATATAAATATGGTTTTGAAGCCTGAGCCGCTGCCCACCATCAAAAGTGGTTGAATATATATGGGGATGAAGAACATCAATACCATAATCACTTGATAATCATAATGATGATGCGGCTATTTATGAATGGCCGGTGCTCAGGATCTGCTGGTTAAGTACCACCAGAACACCGCTCTGGTGGATCAGTTGATCCAGGCCAAGACTGCAGCTGGGCAGAGCCGAGCTCATCCTGAGTTTCCTCATGCGGAGGACCCTCAGCATCTGTAATTCATGAAACCTAAATCATGACCGTAGGCCACTTGATGTATAATGAAATGCCAAAAAAAATGAAACAACATAGGTCATCATAAGGCATCCATAATTATCATGTCTACTTTGCAGCTGCTCAGGACATGAAGCAGTACAAGGTTTGGCTAGAGGATTACGAAGTGAACGAAGACTCCAACCAACGTTTGGTTGCAGTATCCCGCGAGGCTGAAGGAACCCATGATGGTCAAGTGCAGCCGAACCAGTCAGGTGATCAGAATTCAGGCAATAATCCGCCACCAAAGCCACCACGTGTACCAAAGGAAAAGAAAGAGAAAACTGAGGACCAGCTTGCACGTGCTGTAACTAGATGTCATGATTTTATCAGTTTTGTTTGGTTTCATTTGGCGTGATTTGATGGAATCCACTTGTTTGATTTAAATATGTCATTAGCATGGCTTGTCATCAAATAAACAGTAGTATTTTCCTAACATAATCATCTGCCTAGGCAATTGTAAAGGTGAATGCCAACCTCTTGGAAATCACCCAGTGGAACTTCAAGCTCCAAAAAGCGAACGTGTTCGGGTCCCAGACATGCGTCGTGGGGTGCTTTGTTTGCCACACAGGCTTGAAGCTTTCTATATATATATATATATATGTGTATGTAGTTTCTCTATCAAGCGACTTATGATGAACCACATATATATTTATATTTTGAGAATGACATACATGCATATAATCATACCGACACGGTGATCACAATTTATCATCGTTTTATATAGTTCACAAAAACTATGGCGATATGACAAAAATGATTCATCGATGTATATATATATATATATAATATTATATAATATTATATAATATTATGTAATATTATGTAATCACCCTTTGGTTTTGCACAAAAGCCATCATCAGTCCCAGATAGCCTATTTGGTTTATTCACTAGCCTTCATTCTGAAGATAGTCATATAGACTTCGCCTCACTGACTCAGGGCGGATCTGATCGCCCAAGCCTTTGTGTCGCAAATGGAGAACGAGGGTGTGGAACTTCGCAAGGCAAAAGCTGCCTTGGAGGATGCCCTGGCGAATGGGACTGATCTCAACATGCCGCGTGTTGCCTTGGATGCGGCAAACGAGCAGTACAAAAGTGCATCAGCCCAGATCCGAAAAACGGCCGTGCCGCCCAAGGCAGCAAAAGCCAAGGCGAAAGCTTCTGCAAAAGCAAAAGCCAATGCTGGGCCAAGCACGTAGGTCTCACACGTTTTGATCGCAAATGCGCAACGGCAACATTAGTAATAATATATATATATAGACATTTATTTATTTATTGGACTTGTGAACCATATCAATTGGTATATTATATAAGTGTTAAGTTCCTGTTTATATGTTGTGATAGTGATAGTGTGTGTGGGATTTCCCAACTTGCGCATCATTTTGGTAGAAATTTGGGCTGCACATTCGCCCAATCTGAAATGGATCTATCTTCAAGTTTGTGCTGTAGAACCTGCTGCTTAGACACTTCCATGTGCCTTGGGCTTCGGGGTTGCTACTCCCGGCACTGTGGCCAACTAGTCGCAATAAAACATTAGAAAACCATCCCGTTCATGTCTTGTCAACAAATTGTTTTACGAAATATGTATATTCAATTATTGATGTCTATTAGCTTTTGCTGTGATGATACATGATGTTCAAAATCCGTAGCATGAGGGCCTGAGTAGCACCGATCAGGAATGATCACAATCTTTAATGGCACAATGTTGGTGGCTGTGGGAACAGCTTTGGCTTGAGGTTGAAAAAGGTATGTGCACTTTGAACTCGGCCCAGCGTCAATCACCAACATTGACATGAACTCCTTTGAAAAAAACATACATGAATCCCATAGAATGATATATATATATAATTATTAAGGGTATGATAAATGTGGTCTATTAATATACAATTACATCAAAGTGATTATCAGTGGGAGATATGCTTCTGATCCGCCCCACGCAGGCAACCATTCATTTGCAGACTATCTGATCTGCAGTCTTGGCCGTGGTGTAGCTTTGCCTGCACTAAAGCCCATAATTAGCACCCATAATTATGTTACCAGAATTGGTATTATTATCATTGTGAACCTTGGCAAATGCTGGTAATGTATGTGCATAGATCCTACTGGATATGGTATATGGTGAATTAGCCCCGAAATGCATCCAAGCTGGTGGCCCAACGTTCCCACCGGTCAGCCGCAGCCAGGCAACCAGCTGTCATGATCTCCAAAGGGCTGCTGCTGCCTCTGTCGAGGAGGCGAAGGCAAGTTGATTTCAAATTCAGGGTGATGGTGATCATGATGACGACGATAATGAGAATGACGATGATGATGATGATGAAGAACTCATCACTGAAAACCATTCTGCATGTATTGAAGGTGGCCCTAAGAGACCTTAAGGACACCTTCGTTTATGATGAATATAAAATAATGATGTTGATGCTGATGTTCAGTACACTTACTAGTGATGATGATGATGATGGTGATGATGATGATGATGACGATGATGATGATGATGATGATGACAATGGTAAAACATTTCCTTCATGTTGATCATAAAAGAAACGGTTGGAGTAGTTCGCACCATTGTCGTATTTAGGCCATAAGTACTGTATATTTAGAAAATCATCACAGGTTAGAGGTCATCCTATTAAATGTGGATTTTCAAACTATTCGCAATGATGATACCTCACCCTGTGAAGGCCTTGGGGGGACTATGAGCACGTTGACCCAAAAGTTAGCCAGGCTTGGTTGCAGTGGCAAATACCCTGCAAACATAGAACGGGACCTTTATGCAGCATTGCACCTGTCAGTATCACCATATTGGTTAGAAGTTCCTGCCCGGAGCCAAGTTAACCGGGAAGATGTTGAAATGAGACGCATCCCGCTACTGCTACCTCATGAAATGTACCACTACCTATTCGAATCTTTGCTCGTAAAATTTTGATTTTGTTTCTTTGTTGAACATGTTTAATTTGTTTTTTTGTTATGTATTGTTTTGGGATTTCCAATAACCAGTCTGTAAATCCACAGGCATCACTAGTTAGAACAACAATCTTTGGCCAAGCTTAAGGATAGTGGGAAGCTGGTTCTCAACCCCATCGAGATTGCAAAGTTTTGGGGCCACGTCACCAAGACTGGATTCCTAGATCGAAACCACCCTGGCAAGTGGGGGGCCAACGTGATTGGATTGTACGGGGACGATGCTCGATACACAAAGTCAGGTGAAAAACTGTTGGCCATTATGTGGAATTCTATCCTTCAAGAACCTGCACGTGTCTAGGCACCTCAGGGTAACATTTTGTTTCTATATAGGTTTTACTTCAAACCAAATTATTCCCGATGATTTTGGAGAAAAATAACGGCCCTTAAACTTATATAGCCTTTACTGCTCTCATGATTGTGTTGCCAAAAAATCCAATGATCGAGTTATCATATTCTTCTCTGGCCCGGCGATCGTGCTTAGGTCTGGATTTGGCCCGGTTTCCTATTTGCTTGTTGCGGATGGCCCTGGTCGTGCCTGATTACACTTTGATGAGGGTACACCAAGTGATTGCATGGAGCTTCCAGGTTTCTATTCCAGCACTCATTATCATTTTTTGGGGAAAGCTCATTTCAAATTAAATAAACACATTTCAAAATAACAGCAAATATGTTCTGGGCAACCATCAGGTTCTGGCAACAGGGATCTTTCCGGACAAGGATTTTGAAGGAAAGCCTTTGCCATCAGAACACATGAAACGCAGCGGCAAACCCATTGCAGGACGGATTGTTATTGACCAATATGGGGGCGTGTACCTGAAACCCTGCCATGTACAAAAAGATGGTTCGTTGAACTTTACCCCATGGCAGAGTTGATCATCACCTGGTCGTTGATCAATCAGTATATATGATATCGATGGTTAACCGTATTGAATTTACATCTCGTATTCCCGAAAAGTAATATAATATATATATATATATTAATACATAATCCCAAACGGCCCCACGAAGGCCTTGAACCCAATTGATCCGGTGGTCAACGGTCGCCTCAGGAGGGCCAGCTTATTGTGTCGAGTACAGGGGCGACTGGAAGTACCAACGGGAATGCTTTGGGTTGAAGACGCATTGGACAGCCCAAGACTTTTGCCATGTTTGCACTGCCAAAAAAGAAGGTAATTGGATGTCAAAGTGTCTTGACATGCAATGCTAGAGTTTTGGGCCTGAAAGATCCTCATGATACTGTGGGCTATCCTCATAAGATGTACTACTAGTTTTGGATGTACCTCGATTTATGGGATGATGTAGCAGGACCCCAAAAGGTGGATATGGAATGGTTTCATATGGGCTAACCCACATTATGTATCTATAGGGTACGTTTGTAGCATTATTTAAAGGGTACGTACACAGTCTACTGCGTACACAGCTTTCAATTTTCATCGCAATGCCAAGGTGGACTCGGTTGGGGAGAACGTTTCCCAGGAGGAGCCATGAGAATGGCTTGACCGCATGCTTCAGGCAGTGGGAGAACATGTTGTTTTGAAAAAACATTCCCCCCCAAAAAAAGGGATACACTCCCATACCCGGAAGAATATGGGTCCTCCAAATGCATGTGAGATTAACACATATGTGTTAGACTTTGGTGGCGGTTCAGGTATCCCCATCCATTTTTCAATGTTCCTGGCTTCACTCCGAACCAAATACGGTGGTGCACCATGCATTGTGTCAACCTTGGGATCCTCCAGAATTTCAACGGCAGTCTGGTTTCCCTGCTCAATAGCCATGGATTCTTGGAATTGATTTGTGATTTTTCCACTAACTGATGACTCATCATGGTCAAAGTACAGCTTTTGGTGATTCTCCATTCCTTATCATTTTAATATTTCACACGATTAATCGTCAGTTTTGACCATTGTCAGTACTAGGTACTATTATTTAAAAAATATTGATGGTTCATGCTAACTCATTGTCATGTGTTTGGGTTAGCTGCGGTGGCTGAGGATTTTTCGGTGGTACATCCTTGGATGACAACCTGCGGATCCTCTCAGCTCGTTTTCGAAAATGGGCGAGCATCAACAAGTATGGGAAACATGGCTGAAACCTTTCTAAGTGTTTGAAAGCCTGCAGTCTTGATTTTTTACTATGCGTCCTCCAGACGCTCTGAAATCTAAAAGGGTGCTTCCATTGATTTTTTCTGCTCAAGGTTTTACATAAACCTATACAGGTATGGTTGTACCAAGATGTATCTCCATTTGCTTATGACATGCCATGATATTGGGCACTCCCCAAATCCACTAACAGTCATATAAACATCATCATTTTTGCAGGGAACCCTAACTAATGATCATCATCTTAAATATAGGCAGTACAATATATATTATAATATGTATTTATACCAGGAATAGTAAACCCTAAACTCTCTCTCTATATTATATATATATATGTCTCTCTCGCTCTAGATGAATCCGATCACCTTTTCCACTTCCCAATGCGATGCCAAGGCACAGCCAGGGATGGATCACCAGTGGCCTTCTGAACGTGGTGGATGGATACCCAACCTTATGTTGCAAGGCGTACAATGGCCGATTACTGGTCATTTTTTTGGACCGATGCATCCATGCGTTGGCAGCTAGAGTGGATGGCGACCCCGAAATCTACAATGCTTGTGTTGCTGTTAGATCCCTCACTAGTTGGTTTGACTTGCTTGAACGAGCAGGCCGCTACCTATGTGACCAGGAAAGGGTGACCTTGCACAGTCTGCACGGCAAATATGTTCGGGCACTTGAAATGTTGGCTATCATTGCTTTGAAAACTGATGTGAGCCGGTGGAAGTTGCAACCCAAACTGCATCCGTTTGTGCATATTAATGAAGACCACCTGTGGTTTGCCTACAACGCTAGGCACTACCACTGTTATGTTGACGAGGATGCCATGGGACTATTTAAAAATTTGGCACAGAAGTGCCATAGAGGAAACCTCCTAGAGTTTCGTATCATGTGCCGTTTCCTTTTGCGACTGGCATCATGGGTCCCAGGCACTGGGTGAGGATTGAATACAAACTTAATCCTTACCTAGCAAACCATAGTTGTTTTCTATAACCATAGTTGTTTCCAACTCCAAGCCTGCCCCTTTGTGCAGCCCAGTCGCCGCACCAAAGTCCGCCACGACCAGCATGGGAGATGAAACGCTGCGGGAAGGGCCGTGGGTAGTGTGACCCTGGAGTTGTCGGAAACCATTTGTCGGAAACACTATTCTAACAATGTCTTGCTATATCACGACGGACCTTAGATTTTGAGGTCGGCATGCCTGAGAGCTGACATTCGTCAATGTCATCATATAGTGCATGCTTTCGATTCTCAGGGATTGTTTCAACAATTCTTCAATCTTGGTTGCTAAATGTTGCAACACATGTTTCAATTTGTTGAAAACTGTTTCAACGAGTGCCCTAAAATTGCTTAAAACTGTTTCAACGCTTGTTGAAACTTGCTCATTACCCAGAACTGTTTCAAAACTTCTTTCGGATCTATCATTGACGCAAAAAATGGTTTCAACCAACTACCCCTTTCAACACAGAATGCTACTTGTTCCTCTTGCCTTGTGCTGAAAATTTGACTTCTACATCTGTTGTTGGCAACGTTAGGTCTGCCAAAGAGGAATGGCGTTTGATGGGCCACTGCTACCCGACAGTAAGACAACATCACTTTCCACACCTGCTATCCCCTGGGAAGACTGCGCTTTGGCTGCTGTTTTTTTCTGAAGCGGGCTCAGGCTCAGGAGTATCTGTCCACGCCTGCCCGGCTCCTTTGCGCCTCAGCTGCGTGCTGTGGCACACATCACGGCAGAGAAGACATCTTCAGGTTCCCTTGCTTGGCCCCGCTTTTCTTGCCACGCCAGCTGAGCGCTGTTTTGTGGTCAAGTTGCTTTGGTTCGGTGTCACTTTTTGTTTGCCACATGCACTGGGTGCTGTTTTGTGATCAAATTCCCTCGGTGTGGTATTGCTTTTCTTGCCACGCGCGCTGAGTGCCGTCTGGTAGTCAAGGTCCATTGGTTTGGCGTGACTTTTCTTGCCACACGCAGTGTGCTGTTTTGGTAAGGCCAGCATTGCGGGGCGCCTTTCGTAACATGGCCCGAGCCCTGCTGCGATTTCAGGCATGCTGCCAGTAAAACATGGCCACAAGGCCTTGTAATGGGAGGCGCGCAGCATAAAAGAACTAGACCAAAGGTCGTTAACCATCGATCTGATCCTGCTGCGGGTTTACTGGCTCAGGCTTTAACGGCCTCCAAAGCTCGTACAGGCAAATAAGAAGAAGGAACCAAAGCAGGACCAATAAGAGTACAATCTCAAGTGCCAGCAGTACATAGTAAAGGGAGGGTCCATCTGATGGCCCACGAGGCACTGGCAAAGTCACAGGGGGATTAAGCAAGTGGATAGAGCCGCTCAAGCTACAGGGGAAGGAACAAGGCATAGGTTGCTTGGCTCTTGTTGGCTCACACGTGACAGCTGAAGGAACAACGGTTGGGACTGCCACTGGCAAACAAAGCACACAAAAAATCTTGAAGATTTGCAAAGCTGACAACCCTTGGAATTATATATTGTTCTTTCTAATTTAATTCAACCCAAGCGTTGCAAACATCACTCTTGCTAGCCACCTCAAGATGTGAGATTCAAGACTGCCAAATCTAGCAAGAGTAGCGCTGACACAACATGAGCAACTAAATAAAGCTTTTTTGGCTGCAGGTCTTTTTTTGCGCAAAGCGAAGCTTCTACAAAATTAGCGCGCGCTGGCTCCGAGAGCGCCAATCAGCAAGCATGGACAAATTTGCTGCAAACCTGGGCTGAGCCCTCAGCTTCCCAATTTTTCACAAATCAGCGAAGATTCCCAATGCAGAGAGAGCATCGGCTGTTTCTTCCCGTGTGGACGCTCGGGAATCAGGTCTGAACAGCAGGGAGGCCACAGCACTCTGCACAATCGCAAGCAACACTGGCAGAGCCATGGCATTCCCTGCAAGGTCAGCCGTCAAGCTTTCTGTCAGCCACTTCCTTCCTGGGCCAGACCGCTTTCGGACTGAGCCGCTTGCCGCAGCAGAGCATTCGTAGACATCGATGCCTTCCGTCTCTACCAGCTTCAGAAACTGAGGTGCTGGAAATCCTTGAAACAAAAGGGCTTCTTGATCCAACATCAATCTTGGAGGCTTAACCAGCTCGAGAAAGAGCAGCTGACCTGGAAGCATTGTTGGGGCAACACGCTTCTTGGTATCTTTGCACCAGCTGGCAGTGTGCACCCGTCCAAGCGATTGGGAAACATTTCTGAAGCCAGCATCCGGGGCTTGCGCCCTGGACAAAGCCAGCACGTCCTGTTCCCTGGCTGTCAAGGTTTCAAACCACGGATTCAACTTGAGTTCTTGAGGGTATGGCTGTCCCCATCGCAACCCTTCAGCTTCTGCAAACTTCATGTGTTGGTCTGCCCAATTGCCGGAAGACTTGGGGCTCTTCGATGCAGCCTTGGCGCTCTTCTCTTTCCTCTCCTCCAGAAAAGGTTTCAACCTCGCCTGGGGCGGGATTTAGCAGCAAATCCTTGGCGCAGGGTGGGGATCTCAGACAGGAGGCTACCATGTTGTTGGACATTACAAAAGACTCGGTCAAAGACCTGGTTTGCGTGAGAAGCTTTGGGTTCACTTGGCGCACAAACAAAATGTAAAGCCTGCGCCTTCTGGCCGGCAAGCCGAAGGACGAAGCATCCGTTCGCAAAGGCTGGCCGGTATAGCCCAATTCTTTCATGGTTTGCATCAAGACATCCAAGTTGGATTGGGCATGTGCCCCAATTTGCTCCCCAAGCCCACCCACATTTTCGTACATCACCAGCCCAGGTGAGTGAACCGCAACATAGCTGGTAAAACCGTGGTAAGTCTGCACTGAGCTTCCCAATGAATTGCTCTGCTGGAACACGAACTTTTGTGTCTCCTTCTTTGGATTGGCCTTGCTTAAATCTTCGCAGGAGGACCCAATGACCAAAAGGTCACAGCCAGGCACTGGGCAAAGCTTGCCATGAACCACGCAATGAGCTTCACAGCCGCCCAGCGTCTCGATGTCCTGGAAGATGTAGCCAAGTTGAAGCAGCTCGCTTTCCCCGTCACTGCTTTCACAAGCCGATTTCAAAGGGCTGAGGGCTGGCATCAAAGGTCCACAATTTAGAGCCGCTTGGATCCATCGCTGTTTGTCCTTGTTGCTCTCGCATGAGAAAAGTGCTTCATGGAGAGCCGGCATCCGCAGGTCTCCTTGCCAAGGCTGTATGCGCTGGAAAGCGCTTCCATGACATAGAAAGCGCCCTCTGAGCCACTCACGCCACTCACGCCACTCACAAGGCTTGCTGTACTCAATTGAAATCGGAAACACTTCACTTCCGCCAGCTGTGCTGGCGGCCTGTCTCTTCTTGACACGGCGCGCTCTAGCAGGCTCATTGCTAGTAACTGCTGGAGTCACTGAGGGGAAGTGGATCCGGCTCCATGGCAGCTTGGAACTAGTTTGGATCCAACTCTCGGAAACCTTGAACGCACAAACTGCGTATGGTGTAAATCCGGGAAATGCAATTTCAGAGTTTGAAAGAAATATTGAGAACTATTGCAAATTAAAATTAATGCAAACATTTGCGAAAAGAATTGCGAAACGTTTTCTCTACGAATGATTTGTAGAGATTTTGAACAGCATTCAAACATTATGTATTAGTTTTAAATACAAACCAAAAAAATAGAAAACTTTTCTCTACAAATGATTTGTAGAGATTTTGACTACAAAACATTTCATAATTGTTTGGAAATATGTTTCCAATAGATTCAAACATATGTATAATTCTATTTAAATTTTCGAGAACTATTTTTTTCGCAGCTGATGGATTGTCGGAGGCGCAAACTTCCAAAACGCAACTTGCCCTTGACTCATGTGCTGATTGGACCACCTTCATGCACGTTGGATTTCCCTAGTCAAGCCCAAAAGGCCTAAAGGCAACCTGCTCTCAGAATGATGGGAAGGCTTGAAGGCGTTGCTTTTTTTCCCGCAAAGGCAGCCTGTCTGTCTAAAGCAGCCTCTGGCTTGCCCGAGCTGAAATCTACCAGGCGCAGGCCGCCCAAAGACAGGTGCATTGAGCGGCCCTGCCCCTCAGGCCAATCACTGTCTTGCAACCCGGCTGGAAGCCAACGTTCGAGACGGAGCCGGCAGTCTTCCTCGGAAAGCTCGGATGTTGTCAAAGCTTTTCTGCAATAGATTCCTGGCCCGTCCTCTAAATTGCTATGTAAGCCACAGATAGCTCCATAGCCTGTTTGCACACCTTGTCTGTAGATGGGCCCCAAATGAAATACGCCCCATGCTTCACTCCTTCGCTGGCGGATTGCTTTTGCATGTGTCACCTCTGCAGAGCAGACCGGTTTGATCCTGAGAGGGGCTTGAACATGTGAGACTGGAGGGGGCTCTGCTTTGGCTTCCTCGTTAAACTCTGGCAAAGCTTCTTGGGTCAAAGTAATCTGCCAGTTCTGGCCTTGCCAAGTTTCCAGACGGTGTTCTTCCTGTGCATCGGTGTTGTAGCCACTCGCCTCACTGTTGTTGGATCCATCCTCGGACTCAGAATCGACGCCCAGCAACCGCCTTTCCGCTGACAGGGCATGTGAAGCTTTGGGTCGCTTCACTGACCGGGGGCCAATTTCTTTGGCCTCATTCTGGGACTGTTGGTTTGCGGCCCGCTTCTTGTGGTTGCCCAGCTTGTGGGGTGTTTGAAACTTCAAGTGCTTCTTTCGCCTTTGTCTCAAAAGAGCTCTCTTCACAAGCCGTTGCAGCTACCACATCGAAACGAACCAAAGACAGAACCTTGCCCACTTCCAAAAAGTGAAAAAAGACCAGTCAGACGCAAGCCGCGCCAGTCTCACAAATAAGGCCCTGTCACTTGTCAAATCAAGATGAGGAGCTTTGCCCTCACCAAAGTAACTTCCGGCACAGGCGCTGAACAACAAACTGAAGACTACGCCTTGCTCTGCCAAGTCGGGTAAGCTGACTCTATGAAGTACAAGCAAAGCAGCCTCCCAAGGAGCCCTCCTGGTGTGAAACATCACCGCCACATCTTTGGAAACATTTGCGGAGCATGATGTTTGACGATGAATCAGAAGCGGTCGTGCAAGGAAGTCACCACGGCCAAGCCGGCATCTGGCAAGGCATGCATGCATCCGTCCTTGGGGCAGTTTGGCATTATATAAAGGATATGGCTCCCTTGGCGCACGCACCCACAAACGCATCAGCATTTTCAGGCAAAAGACAGTTGCAGTCATTGTTAAACTGGGTAGATATGGTGTTCATTTGGCTTTGATTGCTAAGGACAACATGGCGGGCAAGTGGGAAACCATCAGGTGCACCAACATTGCAAGGACTGCCAGCAGGGAGAGCATTGCCCCCTTCTGTGGCTGCAGCTGCTTGGGATGCGGCTAAAGAAGCTGCTACATTCCTAGCCTGCGCCAAGCGGCGAATATCTCTTTTTCTCTTCAAGGGTGCAACCTCGCCAGGCCCTTAAGGCAGCTCTTTGCCGTTCCTGCGAAGTTCCCCGAAAATTTTGCAACAGATACTCTTGGCTGAACACATGCCAACCATTTGCGCATTTGCCTTTTGTTCTTGAATGGCCCCAAGCTGGCCTGCTGATATTGCATTTTGTTGCTGTCTGTTGTTTCAAAACACGCTTCCGCCACAGCTGGGTGCTTTGCTGGAAGCGGCCTGATATATGTTTGGCAGCAATTCTGCTCAGTTTGGGGCTGTGCCCCTTCACATCGGCCCACTCAGAAAGCCTGGAAAACACCCGCTCAATGAATGTGCTGCTGGTTAGAACCACACGCTGCAGCACGGCTTCCAAGAATTTGAGCGTGTCTGGTTCTAGCATTGCATGCTGTGGAACAGTGTCACAGAGTTGGCGAGCAAAAGCATCAAGCTGATAATTCCTTGCAACTGAGCAAGGACCGCACACAATCCTGCTTCTCACTTAAAGTCACCTCTGGGTCGACCAAAGGCTCCAATGCCCAAGGGTACTGCTGGAAGGGGTAAACAAGCTTTCTCCACAATTGGCCCACAACCAAGCACAAAGTTCGACGCGTGATTCTCAGCCGTTCTTGGTTCCAAGAAAGAACGGGGCCAAAGGCCAAATAACTGGATCCCAACCCATGCCTGCAGGCAGGTGAGCTAGCTCACTGATAGAATCCAAGGCTTTCAATGCAGGGATCAGGGATGCTCTGCAGAAACATGCCATTGACAGCGGTCTCAGTTCCTCATCTTCAAATAAATCGGGCGCCTCTTCTTCCTCATCTACAGCGTCAAATTCAACGCGCTCAGAGAGCCAAGTTGCGTGCTTGAAAAGTGCAAAATGCACCCTCATGACCGGATTTGTCAGCACGCACCATAAACAAGTCATCCAATTGCTTTGTTGGTCAGACAGGGAAATCAAGCCTTCTTCACTCTCAGCCTGGAAAATGGCACGGGCGCCGCGTTCGATGCCCTACCACGCCCAAGGCCACCACGCCCAAGGCGGCCAACCCGTGCACCAGGTCGAAGACCGGGCTGATTGCCTTGACCTTCTTGTTCTTGCTGCTGGTCACCAAGTGCTATCCCTGCTAAGTCATGCAGGCTCAGCATTCGCCAAGCAGTGCAAATCAACAACATTCCGTCGCAAACCAACCGAAAAATTGAGAACACGAAGCAGCTTGAAGCCAAAATGGCAATGCGATTCTGTTTGTTGCTTGCTGAAAACAATGCAATCGATTAAGGCTAGTTAAGCCAACGCTTGATATTTGCAAGTGAAACCAAGTCACAAAGATTTGCGTACTTTTGCAGACCAAGATTGAAAATTGCTGGCTTTGGCATATTTGTGATGGGAAAGCATCTGTAACAACTGCTACAACAGTTGTTCAAATCTTTGCTGGAAAAGTCAAACAATGCCAGAAACGTTTGAACAATTGTTGAAACAACTGCAGAAATTTTGAACAATTGTTGAAACAATTGCAGAAACATTTGAACAATTGTTGAAACAATTGCGGAAACATTTGAACAATTGTTGAAACAATTGCGGAACTTTTGAACAATTGTTGAAACAAGTGCAGAAACATTTGAACAATTGTTGAAACAATTGCGGAAACATTTGAACAATTGTTGAAACAATTGCGGAAACATTTGAACAATTGTTGAAACAATTGCGGAAACATTTGAACAATTGTTGAAACAATTGCAGAAACATTTGAACATTTGTTGAAACAATTGCAGAAACATTTGAACAATTGTTGAAACAATTGCGGAAACATTTGATATAAGTTTAAATGCTCCCCTTGTAACCCTTCACCAGAAGCCTTTTGAAAACACTCAAGACATGGGCATCAGAGGTATTGACTAAAAGAAGCTTGAATAAATAACTCGCTCCATCTTTCTCTCTCTCTCTCTCTTTCTCTATGCGTTTCTCTGATATTCTTGGAGACATAATTAGCGGAAACCATTTTTGAGGCTGAGACTCGGCTAGTCTTATGAGCCCAACAACAGAGAGAATATAGGGCCAAAAGAAAACGGAGCAAACAAAAAACAGAAAACCAAAAACAACAAAAGCAAAGAACATCAAAGAACAAACAAAAAAGAAACAACACAATCAAAAAACAAAACACAGAATCTGGAAAGACAAAGACATGATTCCTGTCAGTTTTTTTTTTAAATCAGTTTTTTGTTTTTGATTATGTGTTTTTTTTCTAAAACCAACTTTCTCTGTTCCCGCTGGCCCGCTGGCCTCATAAAGCTAGTCTCATTTTCTCGTTGATGGCGATCCTCGAATCACTGTGTGGGTAAGATGGAGGCATTCCCCAAAGAAGTTTAGTATAGGCCAAGGGTCATTCGAGAATGGTCTCAGTGTCGCAGCATGAGTTTTGACAAGCATATTTGGCCATTTAGCTCAAAGGTCTCTGATCGTTTAGCTTTAACTTTAACAGTAGATTGCATACTACCCATTGGGCAAAACTGACGGCCCAGTTAAGAGTGCAAGTACCTAGGGCAATGATGGGCAATGTAGGGCAGATGCATTTCCCATCGTTCTATCATTGTGTTGTTATGAGGAATTCTTTGCAGGGAACACTTGTCTTTTCTCAGCTAATGGGATTAAAACCTGCAAATGTGCATACCATTCCATTCCAATCTATTCTGGGCCTTCAGGCTGGCTCCATATGTATATCATTTATATATATATTTTTTTACACATACAACTATATATATATATACATATATATATATATACATATTTTATGTAATGTCAACAGCGGATTAATGACCCGCCCTCAAGGTCAGATGGACCTTGTAAGGTCTTTCCTAGTTTCCCCCCTTAATAAACGCCCTCTGAACCATAAAATTTTGGATATGGCTTGGAATCTATAGAAGTCAATTAGATTTTCGTAGAATTCCATTGGATTTGATGAGATTTGATTGACTGAAAACATTGGCTGAAAGCTATGGGGGACATTGGGAATGAATGGGCAAACCCAAAGAAAAAAACATTAGGGACACGGGGGTTGATTAATAAGGGGCAAGCCCTGGTTATTATTAATGGGAAACATGGGCTCATGGGGGGTAGGTCCCTTTGGGAGCTATCCAAAATAATGATTTTTTATAAAGAATTTAATCTGAAATCGATCATTTGGGGAATAGTTGTTTTTTTTCAAAGTTTCAATGATCAGCAGTGATGGGTTCTGGTGTTCATGAGGTTTCAACTTAAGTATAGCATAAGGAAACCATTTGAAAATAAAGAGAGTTGGGAAATAAAATGAAACCATATTTCAACTTAAACCTTAAGTATAACAATGATGGGTTCTGAGATTGATGAGACATGATGAGAAACAGAAAGAATTGCATTTTTTTAATGGATTTCAGCACTGGAGGACGATTAATCATGTCCATGCCAAAAGTTTTTTAATCCAAGGGGACCACCTGCTTTTAAATTACATTTGTTTTTGGGGCAGCGGAGGTTGATTAATAACGGGGTGTTGGCTAATCCTGACTTGACATTGGATACATTAGATAGATAGATAGATAGTTAGTTAGATAGATAGATAAGATAGATAGATAGACAGACAGACAGACAGACAGATAGATAGATAGATAGGCACAGTGTACCTGGAAATTCATTGGTTACAAAATTTCCGTCCAGGGCAGATTTTGGTTTGATTTCGGCCTAGTTTTTAAATGTTGTCTATTTCAAAATAAACATGACCATTTCAAGAAGAAACTGACGACTTCATGTTTTCCAGGTCCTTCACAAGAAGTCTGCCCTAAGGGCAGAAATCTTCTAAACGGACAATTATGTGGGTCCTTTCGAAGATCCAGGTATATAATATATAACTATATGCAGTGTATAACTATATACAGTATATAACTATATATTTATAACTCAATATATATATATAACTATATATATATAACTATATATAGTACTATTAATATATAACTGTATTTTAATTTAACTATACATATATATTTATACATATCTCCAACTATATGTGTACATATATATATATAAATAAATAAATATATTTATATATATACAACTATATATATACAACTATATATCTATATATATAGAAACACAACTATATATTTATATATATATACAACTAAAGATGTAAATGTGAATATACATATGAATATTAGATGTATATATATATATATACATAGTACATATCAATATCAGGCTGCCAAGAATGAACTGTTGATTGAGCTTTCAGGAGCTACATGGAGCTACCATTTATCAGGCTGAATGTGGTTTTGGCATCTTTAAGGACCAGCTGGAAACTCTGGAAATGGATTCATCAACAGGTGCCACTTTGCTTCGAGCTGGCGCCCGCAGGCCAAGCGAAGCCAGGCTCAGCAGGCTTGCAACCTTGTAATAATTTGGGATCACCAGCACGAATCTGGGTAAATTGTAACGACCTCACTGGAATCATGGTTAATAAGGGAAATCATCCCCAAATGGCCTTGATTCAGGTTAGTGAAATATTTTTTTTACCCAGATGAATGGGGGGTTGTTGATGTTTGTTGACTAGGAACAGCGGTGGATATCAATGCAAAAACTTCTGAGCCAGTCACAATTTGGACATGAAGATCGGGGACATGAACCAGCAAAAATGGGACTTCAACCAGAAATTGGTACATGTCCAGTAG